GGGGTTACCACAAAATTGTCAATTATTGGCAATAAATTCATTTCGTATTCATATCTTTATTCAACTACAAAGCACGAGATAAAAGAAATAAAAAATCACAATTTACTATGTAGTTTGGTCCCGCCTAACCAGAGTAGGTTGTTTTAATTGGTTGGCCCAAAAATTGGTAATATTTATCATTGCGCTATTTTCAGAAATTAATTAGTTCCGATGACCCTGATAAGAAGTTAGATGTAGATCTTGATGATTTTGATGATGTTGAGGGCAAAAAGGACGTTGATATGGAAGACGCTGAGGAGCTCCAGGAGTTTGATCCAACTCAGGTGAAACTCAGGAGGATTGATTGATTGATTGATTTAAAGGTTAATTGATTAGAGGGGTTAAAGACTTAATATGAAGTGACCCTCCATTAATAAAAAAGTGTACGTTTTGAATCGTACATACCACTTTACAGGGATGAATATTTTTAAGAATCCCCCCCCCCCCCTCGGGGAAATAATTTTTGAAGATGGGGGGGACATAAAAGGGAAAGTTTATCATCCTTTTTCATACTTTTTATCCGAACTTTTGTTTATTTTCCCCTAAAAATACCTTACTTCTTGGGGGAAAATGATACTCAAAAGGGGGGGGAATGTTTTTTTGAAAAATATACACCTCTGTAAATTATATCGTGCATGAAACTCCATAAAGAAATGATCACTTAAAATATCTTCGAAATTCCCTTTCAGATTGACAAATTACGTTTGTTGAAACCCTTGGTCAAANAAGAGCTTATACAGATCCTTTCCGTTATAGCTCCCAGATATAAAACATTATGGTTGATAAATTTACAGAATAATTTAATAATTTTTCCCTGACTTCATTTAACCTAATTCATAGAAGATAGTGGTGCAGCGAATAATGATTTTTATTATATTTAGGTTTATATTGACGGAGAATTGCTGCCGTTTCTTCAATGCAGGAAATCATACTCATTTATTTTCAGTCAAGAATTAGTTTTTAATGATTGATTGATTTTAAATATTTTCTAAACGTATTTTCAAAAGGGAATTTACCGCATGTATTTTTCCCCTTGAACTTTTCATGAAGTATCAATAGACATTTAAGTCGGATTTTTGTACAGTTTAAGGATTAATTTATTTATCAATTAATGAGGAAGTAGAATGTTAAAAATTTCTGTTCTTATTTTAATCAATAAATGATTAATTGATCAGTTAATAGATTGAGTATTTGAGTTTTAGGTTCTTTTTTAAGTTTCATATGAAATTTAGCAATTGATTAATTGATTAATTGATAAATGACTATGAGATGCAGGGGTATAATAAACTATAAAGAATGCCAAGCTCTGTTTAAGCTGTCTAGAAATTTATTACTTGATTGATTGATTGATTGATTGATTGATTGATTGATTGATTGATTGATTGACCAGTAAGCGCTGCAGGGGCAGAAATGAAGAATGTTAGGTTTTGTTAAAGCTGCCTAGAAATCTACTGACCGACTGTCTGATTGCCTGATTGATTAATTGATTAATAGATAGATAGATTGATTTATTGATTGATTGATTGATTGATTTATTGATTGATGACTAATTAAGTATGGATGCAGGGGCAGGAATGGAGAATGCCAAGCTGTGTTTAAGCTGCCTAGAAATGACAAGAGAAATCTTGCGCTTACTAATCATCTGAAATCTCACCAAAAGGAAGAAAACATGACTGACGATAAGGTAAAGAAGACAGACAGACAGATAGACAATAATTTTTGTGTAGTCCATATCGCCCTGAAGGTAGTGGGGTTCCACTGTAGGTTACCTTTCAGATTTACACTTGATTTGATTTGATTTTTTAACAGGAAATACGAAAATTATTTTATTTTTGAATTCAAGAACTGGAAAGTTAAAGAACAGTTTTATTAATTAGCAGGTAAACAGAAACAATATTGGTTCTGTATACATGAAGAAAATTTAATTTTTTGAATAGAAAAACAGGAAAGTCAAAAAACATTTTTATTAATCAACAGGAACAGGAAAATGTGAAAGTTAGCTACAGTTTTCTATAAAAAGGAAACAGAAAAAGATGTAGCACAGAAAAACAGGAAAGAAGGAAGCTATGTAAAGTTTAAAATAATGATGGAGAAAGCAGGAACAAATGATCTTGTTGAACAGGAGAACAGGAGGGATGAGAGAAAACAGGATGATGAGAGCAGGACCCTGGATCCTGGTCTTATTGAGAAACTAAAAAGCGAGCTAAGTGTACCACTTCAAAAAACAAGGTATTTTAAGGGATAGTGTAGGGTGTATAGGTAAATTCAAGTGATCCTATATAATGATGGGAAAGTTCGATTCACAACGCTTTTAAAAGCTTTTTCTGATCAAGAAGGAATGAGATATCTATTGTTTTCTTTTTGTAAATTGATAGTGTAAGCACTATACACTAGCTAAAAAAATTACGTTATTGATAAAGATAAGGGCTTTAAGGACAGCTTTGCAAATAATGAAATAATTAATAGAGTCAGATTGATTGATTTATTTATTTATTGATCTGTAAAAAGATTTATTTATTTTATCATTTATGTATTTATTGATGAATTGATTAGATCAAAGGCTACTGCAGAAGATGGGGTATCTAAGTTAGCACTAGAACAATTGATTCAGGTAAGATTTTTTGAAATGTGATGGTGCTAGATCAACTGACCAACTCTTGCTGGGTCGACCGTCCAACTTACAATCTGCCTGCCAACCTAGAGAAAAGACAGCAGTATCTCTATAGAAATGTTTTAGTTTACTAAGCACAAAAAGTGTCTATATATCACTTTGCCTAGAAAAAATCACTTTAATTATAACTGGAAATGTTTGTCTTTAAATTATTTACTGATAATTTAAACTTCCATTCTAAAAGACTCCCATTTTACTGCCATTTTAATGCCATTTTAAAAATGTCTATATATCACTAACCAAGAAAATCACTTTACTTTTCACTGGAAATGTTTGTCTTTAAATTATTCACTGATAATTTAGACTTCCATTCAAAAAGTTTTCAGTATTTAATTAGAAGGAGAACTGAAAACTCCTATCAGAGCTATATCTAAACTAAAGCTGACACAGCTAACAGTCTCTTGATTCACTTCGCCGGGAGAGATCGATTAAAACCGGTGCACGCTGGCACCCTGGACTGCCATTCTCTCTGAAACCTCTTTTAGAAGTGAATTAAGCAATATAAGCTTGGTCGTTTTAGTTTTGTTGTAGATGTTGAACTCGACTAGGCAAATACAAAAATCTAAACATTGTAAAAGTTTTTTTTAAAATATCTTCTAAATGAATATAGATATTACTTTTAGATAATTTTTAGGTAACAGGCAGCCTGACCTTTTAGTATCTTAACTCCAATCATGAAATGCAGTGATTAAATTGGCGAATTAGATCTAAGATTCGGCTTTTATAAACTATGCTATGTTTCTCAGTTTTTGAAATTTAGTTTAAGCCAATGCACATGACGTGAAACCCCGATTGATGTCGAAAACTGTGCTAAAAAAAGATTTTACGGTGATTACCAATTGAGATGGTGGAGATTACCAATTGAGGAGCTCGCATGCCGCAAAATACGTTTTGGTTAGCTGTGATTACCAATTGAGGGCTTCTGCACTCCCCCCTCCTTAAACATTACTTTCAATCCTAAAACAATTTTTAGCACAAGATACTTAAATTAGTTTTCGAGAGGACGTCTCTACAGTTTATAAGATTTGAAATGAATGAATTTACTTTTTCAAGAGTTTATACAGGGTTACCTATAAAGGAGGAGACTCTAAAGTCGACTGTAAGGAACTGTTTCAGTCTTTTTCATTGCTTTTATATCTTTTATATCTTTACAAAATAATCGGATATTTCTTTACAAAACTACTTTTAAGGCTGATGACCAAACTTGACTTTAAACCGTCGAATGGTCGTCATTGAAGTCTCATCCTTTGTGATTAACCCTGTAGAGTGTAGATGGATAACTGATATTAGGCATGTATGTACTCTCCCAGATGAAAACAAGAAAAATGAGAAAATTCTCTCAAAACCCCTTGTACAAGAGCTTATTAATACAAAGGTATATATATTATCCTACCTACCTACCTACCTACCTACTTACCTACTTACTTACCTATCTACCTACCTATCTACCTACCTACCTACCTACCTACCTACCTACCTACCTACCTACCTACCTACCTACCTACCTACCTACCTACCTACCTACCTACCTACCTACCTACCTACCTACCTACCTACCTACCTACCTACTTACCTACTTACCTATCTACCTCCCTACCTACCTACCTACCTACCTACCTAGTCTGCCCGTGTATGCCTGGAGGATCTGGAAGCTAAGTATGAGAAGAAACTGAAGGATGTTGGATCTATCTATCATAGGGTTCATGTCGATACTATACCAACAGAATACATTTGCTGCAGGTATTTATAGATTCATTCATTTACTGATTCATTCATTTACTGATTCATCCTTCTATTCATTCATCCCTTCATTCATCCTTTCATTCATCCTTTCATTCATCCTTTCATTAAATCATTCATCCTTTCATTCATTCGTTAATTCATTCATTTAATATATTTATTCATGGATTTATTCATACATATACCGTACTTATCAAAAAATATTTATCAAGGCACTGTGAGAAGGTTTATATAATGTCTGGAACGCGCACGCATATAAACCTGGTTCGGAAGATAGAGATGCACGACTGCTATATTAAGCACGCTCGCCATGCAAACATGAATCTTCAGGACCCGCAGGTAGGCTGAATGCGCATGTGTGTATGGTCATTGGTCATACAGTTGTACTACGGGTATGTGTGTACGGTCAATACAGTTGTACAACGGACATGTGTGTACGGTCAGAACAGTTGTACAGCGGGCATGTATTTTCGGTAAAAACAGTTGTACAATAGGAATATGTGTTCTGTCAAAACAGTTTTACAATAGATATGTGTTTTCGGTGAAAACAGTTGTACAACAGATATGTGTGTTCGGTTAAAACAGTGTTACAACGGTCATCTGTGTGTACGGTCAATACAGTTGTACATCAGGGATGTGTGTACGGTCAAAACAGTGTTACAACGGGCATGGGTTAACGGTCAAAACAGTTTTTCCACGCGCATGTATATTCGGTCAAAACAGTTGGACCGCCCACCTGTGAATGTAATTATATAGTGGGAAACTAATAGAACTGAGGCTCACATCTAACTTAAAAATATCAAATTTTTATTATTTTAGGATGAGAAAGATCTTAAAATAATTCTGCTTCTTNGTTGATTTGTTGATTTGTTGAATAATAAATTAATTGATTTGTTGATTTTTTGTTTGTTGATTTGTTGATTCGTTGATCACTTGATCCCTTGATCCCTTGATCCATCGATTCGTTGATTTGTTGATTCGCTGATTTGTTGATTCGTAGAACTGTTGATTCGTTGATTCGTAGAACTGCTGATTCGTTGATTAATTTTTTTTACCTTTCAATGCCTTACATCTTTATTTTTTATATTCATTCATAAGTTTAACCTTTCTTATGTTTAATGGATTGATTGATTGATTGTTATTTCAGTGTTTGAAATTTATTCCGATCTCTGCTCTAAACTTTAATGATGAGCGTCTGCATCGTTGTCATAAACTTAAATCCACAGATCATAGAATCCGAGCTCAGGTCAGTTTTATTTGCTGAACTTAAGTTCTAGTTTAAAGAACTTAAATTCTAGCTTCAGTGCTTAGGTTCTGCGGAAGTTCTGTTTTTTAACGATGAAAGTCTTCCTCGTTGTCGTAAACACCACAGATCATAGAATTAGAGCTCTGAGTCCGAATTTAATGAATTTGAACCGCATCTCAAATTCGCTAAAAACCGATTTTAACTGAGCGCCGGCATAAATCTTGAAAAATTGGATACAGTTTAAAGTGTAACCAACCAAATTTAAGCCGCGGGTTCAAACTCTTTAATTTTGGCCTCTGGTCCGTTTAATTTATCACAACTTAAGTTATACTTTACGGAGAAAAAATAATTGACAATAATAAATTTTCCGTTAAAATAAAAAGGATATCTCATTCATGCTTGATCAGACAAATACCATTGGGTACCATTGTGAATCGGACATTCCACTGTTTAAATGGAGGATCACTTATAATTATGTTTACGGTTTCAATTAAAATCTTTCAATATGAGATGAGAGTATTGATTCCTGCTAATTGTATTAAAGAATTTTTATCAAAAATAATGTAAAAACTTTTATTTTTAAAATTTTGTTTAGGGGAAGAGGACAACGGATTGTGATAAATGTTCACAAACTTTTAATTCAGAACATTTCTTGGAAATTCACAGGTTCAAATATTATTCATTTAAGATTTAAATTGTTTTGAAAACCTTTTTAGAGATTGTTTTTTCATTTTTAAATAAAAGAAAATGATTTTCCTCACTGTAAGATATGGAATATAATTCTCCAATTGTAGGCTTTATAGTTTCTGAACTAGAGTGTTAAACGTGAAGTAAGGTCTCATTCCTTTATTTTTGAGGCTTGTGGAGAAACAAATTGTGCATCATAAAGCTATTTTTTTCACCCTTTGACCTTGACTTTGACTTTGACTTTGACCATGACCGCGTCCATGAATTAGACCTTTACCTTGACCTTTACCTTGACCTTGACATTGACATTGACTTTTTCCTTGACCTTGATTTTGTCCTTGTCATTGACCTTGACCTGGAACATGACCTTAACATTATTCTAGGAGTTCCCAACTGAAAGATTAGCTAAGAAGCATGAGTTGAGTATTCATCATCCGGAAATCAGTAAAAAGTTCAAGTAAATAAATAATCATTATTATACAATTCTCCTCTTTTCAACCTTGAAAAGTTGCAATAAATATTTTATCTTTAATGGTATGTTGATGATGGTGCTTTGAATAAAAACCAGATTTCCTCATTATTTTGGTCTTAGATATCATTACTTTTTAGTTCTAAAGAAACTGCAGGCGTAACCTTCCTCTTGTCCATTTGTAATTTGGAAATTTTGAAAATTCGCCAAGAGAAATGTGCTGAATTTAATTTATTGTAATCCGTCTATATTGTAGGAATAGAAATTATACTTTCTTTGATTAGGTGTACCCAGAAAAACTGTGGAAAAGCTTTTCATGACTCAAGCAAACTCCGTCTTCATGCACAAACGGTAATGCAATGTTTTTAGGTAAAACGTAGAATAATCAGCTATTAAGATTTCATTTCGATTTATCTCAGACGGTTATAATTCTATTTTACTTATGATTGATTTTAAGAGAGTTTTAATTTGAAGTGGCAACAGAGCCCGTTGTATGATTAAAAATTAATGAGATATTCTTATTTTTCTAGCTTAAATTTGTTATTTTAAAATGTGGTTACGTTTACAGTATATATGGGGGGCCAGAGTCAGAATTAAAATCCGCCAAAAACTGGTTTCAATTGAATCTTGAATCCTTGAAAACAATTTCAAGTGGAACCAACCATATTTGAGCTGCGTTTAAATTTAAGCCGTGGCTCAAATGCTTTAAATGCGGATCTCTTGATTGAAAGGGTGATTTTGATTAATTGATTTTCAGCATTCTTCTGGAGAGAAGCCGTATGTATGTGATCAGTGTGGAAAAGGATTTAATTGGATCGGATCATTCCAGGTAATGTTTGTGCAAATGTTGTAATTTTTGTGAAAATNCCAATATGGTGATGTTTGTGAAAATGTGGCAATGTTTGTGCAAATGTTGTAATGTTTGTGCAAATATGGTAATGTTGAGGAAATTTGGTAATGCACGAGCACGAGGGAAACCGGAAGTATAAAATATGAATATTCAGTACCACAGGAATATGCACGAGGGTAACCGGAAGTATAAAATATGAATGGTCAGGACCACAGGAATATGCACGAAGGAAACCGGAAGTATAAAATATTAATATTCAGGACCACAGGGATATGCACGAGGGTAACCGGAAGTATAAAATATGAATGTTCAGGACCACAGGACTATGCACGAGGGTAACCGGGAGTATAAAATATAAATATTCAGGACCACAGGACAGGGATATGCACGAGGGTAACCGGAAGTATAAAATATAAATATTCAGGACCACAGGGATATGCACGAGGGTAACCGGAAGTATAAAATATGAATATTCAGGACCACAGGGATATGCACGAGGGTAACCGGAAGTATAAAATATGAATATTCAGGACCACTGGGATATGCACGAGGGTAACCGAAAGTATAAAATATAAATATTCAGGACCACAGGGATATGCACGAGGGTAACCGGAAGTTTGCTTGTGATTTCTGTAATAAACGGTTTACTAAACGGAATACTTTAAATAATCACAGAAGGCTTCACACAGGTAATAACAACCTTTAAAGGAAATGTAGACGTAATTTCAGGTGACTTTTCTATTAAGTGGCATGTCCGATTCTTAACGCTACCCTTGAAAAGCGTTTTCTGATCCTGAATTCATGAGGTATCCATCATGCTTTATGACTTGTATTTCTGCTTTAAAACATTGGAGGAAATTGTACGAATTGAAGCTACAGAGCGTCCCATATCATATTAGATTATCTCCAATTTTTAACGCCAAAATACACAAATAATACTTGAAAAATCTAGCATTTTCTGCAGCAAAAAAATTTCTATTAGCCTTATTAAATTTTTCAAAATAATTCATTCTTCTTACATTTTCTAATTTGTCCCCCAAGTCGTAATTTAAACCCATTGACGCGGTCTAATTTGATGTGGGACACCCTGTAGAAAAACGACGATATCTCCACGTTATTTATCAGATAAAGGAGTGAAGAGTACCATTGTGATTCATGCATATCCTTGTTTAATCAGATGGTCATTTAATATTACAACGATTGCATTTGACCTTTAATTCAACAATCTTATAACTAGGAATTTTTTCATTTAAAACGCAAAAAGTAAAAAAAAGAGAATAACCGAAATTTCTGTTTAATTGGTTAAATTATGATCGAAAGTCACGGCTTACTGAGACAAGGACCGACGTAATACCTTCTGTATAATCCTACAATCATATTTATATTGTTCGAATTTAATTTCAATTCATTCTAAATTTTTTTTTATATTTTTAAGGTGAGCGGCCCTTCCTATGCCCGGCACAAGGTTGTGGGCTGACTTTTGTGCAGCGCACAGCTTGTAAATCCCACGCGCGGAAAAAGCACGGAATCAATATAACAGTATATACTAGGTTAGCATATTTTTTATTCACAGTAAACTTCTAGATAAGTCTTAATGCCGGTGTAGTGTATGGGGACAGCTCCCTTGCATGGGGCGGACTCCCGTAAAGTTTTAACCATTTCAACACAATTTTAGACAATACGCATTTAGTTCTTAAATGTATTTTATAGGGGTAAAGGCAAAGTTATTTCCTCTTGAATGTCGTCTTNATTCAAGATTAAATTAACAGCACACATATTTAGGGTCAAACAGTACAAATATTCAAGATTAAATTAACAGCACACATATTTAGGGTCAAACAGTACAAATATTCAAGATTAAATTAACAGCACACATATTTAGGGTCAAACAGTACAAATATTCAAGATTAAATTAACAGCACACATATTTAGGGTCAAACAGTACAAATATTCAAGATTAAATTAACAGCACACATATTTAGGGTCAAACAGTACAAATATTCAAGATTAAATTAACAGCACACATATTTAGGGTCAAACAGTACAAATATTCAAGATTAAATTAACAGCACACATATTTAGGGTCAAACAGTACAAATATTCAAGATTAAATTAACAGCACACATATTTAGGGTCAAACAGTACAAATATTCAAGATTAAATTAACAGCACACATATTTAGGGTCAAACAGTACAAATATTCAAGATTAAATTAACAGCACACATATTTAGGGTCAAACAGTACAAATATTCAAGATTAAATTAACAGCACACATATTTAGGGTCAAACAGTACAAATATTCAAGATTAAATTAACAGCACACATATTTAGGGTCAAACAGTACAAATATTCAAGATTAAATTAACAGCACACATATTTAGGGTCAAACAGTACAAATATTCAAGATTAAATTAACAGCACACATATTTAGGGTCAAACAGTACAAATATTCAAGATTAAATTAACAGCACACATATTTAGGGTCAAACAGTACAAATATTCAAGATTAAATTAACAGCACACATATTTAGGGTCAAACAGTACAAATATTCAAGATTAAATTAACAGCACACATATTTAGGGTCAAACAGTACAAATATTCAAGATTAAATTAACAGCACACATATTTAGGGTCAAACAGTACAAATATTCAAGATTAAATTAACAGCACACATATTTAGGGTCAAACAGTACAAATATTCAAGATTAAATTAACAGCACACATATTTAGGGTCAAACAGTACAAATATTCAAGATTAAATTAACAGCACACATATTTAGGGTCAAACAGTACAAATATTCAAGATTAAATTAACAGCACACATATTTAGGGTCAAACAGTACAAATATTCAAGATTAAATTAACAGCACACATATTTAGGGTCAAACAGTACAAATATTCAAGATTAAATTAACAGCACACATATTTAGGGTCAAACAGTACAAATATTCAAGATTAAATTAACAGCACACATATTTAGGGTCAAACAGTACAAATTGCTCAGCTACCTCAAGGCCAATATGTTCAAATCATCCATCCTATGCAAGCTCAGGTATTTAATTATTTGTTATTGTTTTTTATAGTTTTTTAATGTTTGTTATCGTTTAATATTGTTCGTTATCGTTTAATATTGTTCGTTATCGTTTAATATTGTTCGTTATTGTTCGTTATTGTTTATTTTTTTTGTTAATATTGTTTGTTACTGTTTGTTAATGGTTGTTATTGTTCGTAATTGTTTATTTTTTGTTATTGGTTGTTATTTTTTTTCATTGTTTTTCTATTGTTTGTTAATGTTTGTCATTGTTTGTTATTGTGTGTTTTTTGTGTTATTGTTCATTATTGTTTGTTATCGTTTGTTATTGTTTATTATTGTTTGCTATTGTTTGTTATTGTTAGTTTTCAAATTTTTGAACACTGCTTAAAACATTCCCATGTGGTTTTACCAAGTTCTATAAAATAAATCAGTCAACGGGTTTATGAGTTATCAGAGATTACTACTTTTCCAACCGGTTTGCCCAATAAGGACCAGACTTCAGAGACGACTGTACAAAATTTTGTTCTGTATATTCCCATATATTCATACCTGCCTGCAACTATAAACTTCTTTCTTTCTTTAAAAATCATTGAACAGGATATTAATCGACTTTATTCGAAGCAGAAGACTAAATTTAACCTTGGAATCGTCATATTTCAAGAGCTTTAGGTCGTCTTTACAGTCTCATTATTTGTGGGTAAACCTGTATAAAGAAGATTAATATTCTCCAATATTCTAGATCCATCACGAATCTGAAGGAAGTAGCGTGGATAAATCTCAACCCAGTCCCAAGCAGAGATAGTTAAATTGTATCAGACATAAATGGGACTGTATCAGCGTGTTTTCAAGTGATCTTTAGTTCAAAGATGACAATGCCCGATTAGCAACGATACAATTAAACCTTTATCTGATCAATAATGTTGAAGATTTTCTCACTTTTTAGGTTTTAAATGTTTAATTCTGATAATTCCTATTCCCGCAGTAAACATGCGAAAATAGTTTTTAAAATGTAATGTTTGACATCTTATTCGATCAGACAAAGCTTTTAAAGGTACCTTTGAGAGAAGATGTTGCATGGAGGGTCACTTGAAACTACGCGTACAGTCCCTTTAATTAGTCCCTTTTAATACGTTCTCTTCTAAACAAACAAGATAAAGATAAGAATGTAAAAACGACTTCAAATTGGGTTAAACAGTACATTTCTAAACTTCAGGTAGGGGTTAAACAGTATATTTATTAAAGGTTTAACAGGACATACATTTAAGGTTAAACAACAGAGAACATGTGTTAAAGGCTAACATTACAAATATTAAAAGTTTAACCGTACAAAAATTATAGATTATATGAACAAACAGCACAAATATTTAAGATTAATTTAACAGCACACATACTTAGGGTCAAACAGTACAAATTGCTCAGCTACCTCAAGGCCAATATGTTCAAATCATCCATCCCATGCAAGCTCAGGTATTTAATTCTTTGTTATTGTTTTTTAATGTTTGTTATTGTTTACTAATGTTTGTTAATGGTTGTTATTGTTCGTTATTGTTTATTTTTTTTTGCTATTGTTCGTTATTGTTTTTATTGTTTCTCTATTGTTTTTATTGTTTGTTATTGTTTGTTATTTTTTATTATTGTTTGTTATTGTTTGTTATTGTGTGTTATTTTGTGTTATTGTTTATTATTGTTTGTTATCGTTTGTTAATGGTTTTTATTCTTTTTTATTGGTTTTTATTGTTTGTTATTGTTTGTTTTTGTTTGTTATTGTTTGTTATTGCTCGTTATTGTTTATTCTTTTTTGTTATTGTTTGTTATTGTGTGTTATTGTGTGTTAATGTTTGTTATTGTTTGTGTGTTTTATTGTTCATTAATCATTATTGTTTGTTATTGTTTGTTATTGTTTGTTATTGTGTGTTATTGTGTGTTAATGTTTGTTATTGTTTGTGTGTTTTATTGTTCATTAATCATTATTGTTGGTTATCGTTTGTTATTATTTATAATTGTTTGCTATTGTTTGTTATTGTTAGTTATCAAATTTTTAAACACTGCTTAAAACATTCCCATGTGGTTTTGGTAATACAAACAGACAAACATGCAGAGATTAATACTTTTCCAACCGGTTCGCCCACTAAGGACCAGAGATGACTGTGCGAAATTTTGTTCTGTCTATTCCCATATATTCATACTTCCCTGCAACTATTAACTACTTTCTTTCTTTAAAAATCATCGAACAGAGCTGAAAACTTTAGAATGGGATATCCTTAATCCCCATCTGTTAATTAATCTTGAGATTAATAACAAGAGGAGTACAAGCCATATTTAATCTGGAGATTAATAAAAAAGGAGATCAAGCATTGATCTTGATATCCACCATTCTAAAGTTTTCAGCTCAGGTCATTAATTGACTTTATTCAAAGCAGAAAACTCAATTTAACCTTGGAATCGTCATATTTTAAGAGCTTTAGGCCGTCTTTACAGGCTCATCATTTGTGGGTAACCCTGTATAAAGAAGATTAATATTCTCCAATATTCTAGATCCATCACGAATCTGAAGGAAGTAGCGTGGATAAATCTCAACCCAGTCCCAAGCATAGATAGTTAAAATTGTATCAGACATTAATGGGACTGTATAACTTGAAATTACGCGTACAGTCCCTTTAATTAGTTCCCTTTTAATACGTTCTCTTCTAAACAAACAAGATAAAGATAAGAATGTAAAAACGACTTCAAATAGTTACAAGAATTTTAAAACAACTAAGTTCTAGAGTTATTGTTGCAAGTTTTAAACCAACGCTCGGACATTGCTAATCTGATTGACAGTTGAAACTTTTGATTTGAAAGCAATTAAATGTACGTAATTTCATCATAATTTCACCTTTTTTAATTTGTGAAAACAGCTGACTAGCATTTTAAATGAGATTTAGAATAGATATTTTAAATGAGATTTAGAATAGATATTTTAAATGAGATTTAGAATAGATATTTTTTATTCTTTTGATTGGAAAAGCTATTAGATGTATCTCAAAGGATTTAACTTCTGTCAGATGTGGATTAGAGCTTACTGAATGGATTAACAAAAGACCTCTAATATTCAGTCGATATCAATGTTTTCACGTTTTTCCCAATCTTAGATGTTTGTTTACATGCCTGTCAACTGAAGGGTTGTTTACATTTCTCCAAGTTGCTTTGTTTACTTGGTTTTGTTTATTTTACTGCTACAAATATCTAAAACTTATGCAAATTGTAATTTCATGAATTTAAAATGACTACTTTCTCAAAGTAACTTAATTATGCATGTTATTATTATTTATGTTATTTATTAGTTATTTATTGTAGCGATATTTTAAAGATGAAAATTTGTATTCTCTTCCTTGTGAATCTCTTTTGGTAAATATTAATAACTTACAGGGGTGTATATAATTCCATATTTTGGATTCTTCCCCCCCCCTCTAAATTCTTTTTGAATTCGTTCCCCAAACTCGACAACTCAAAATACATAGACTAAACTCTTCTTAGATTTATTATAGTATCATCTAAAAAAAATTTACTTATTCTTACTTAATTAAACAGTAAAAAAGTCGACAGGGACATGAGACTGATTTTCTTGGTTCTTCCGTAGCTGTCCAAGAGTTGCAGACAGATCTGCAAACTTCAGTTTGGAGTATTGTCTGGAAAGTCTGGCGTTGTCCAACTTTCTTACAAAGGTCATCTCCTTCATAAACTCATCCCTGATTTCAGTGATGATTTTTTTTCTTTAAGATATGAAGAGGAGGAGCATTAAAAGCTATGATAAGCTCTCTTGAGAAAAAGCTTGATGTGAGGTTTCTTCCTTTATTGACTAGTATATACATGAGGGATCCCACACTTTCACAGTAGGCTTCAGTGTATGATTTGATATTAACATGTTCAAACAGGTCAAAGAATCTAGACTCTGCTGACAAACTTTGCCTATAATTCTTTTGGAACAGTTGATATAACACTTCCAAGGACTGCTGATCAGAATTTTGTTTAAATGTCAGGAATTGAATGTATGTCTGCAGAAGGCTGTCCTGAACTTCAAACTTCTTCTCCTGAAGTTTGTCTTCTAAAGATTTTCAACCAGCTCCTCTAGATGTACTCTGGTACTTGTTTCTAGCATGTCTTTATTGATGTTTCCAGCCCACTCTGTTCTATGAAAAGCCTCTACAGAAGCCTCTACAAGTTAAGTAGGTTTAAATCGTTTTTCCAGGGATGTAAAGATATCCTCACATACCTCACTAAGTTGCTTTTCAACTTTCTCAATAGAATTATCAGTCAAAGACATAACTGAAACCTCTTGCTCAGAAATATCCTGAGATGTTAGATGGTTGTTTTTGACTTTATCATCTACCCCTGATAACTTCAGATGGGATTATTATTCAGTGAATTCAAAAATTAAACAAATAGTTTTGCTCAAGAATTAAGATAAATTATAATTTTCGCGGTTTTAAAGTACTACTTCATGGTTTTAGAGGGTACTTAAGCATATTTCTGTTTTTTTTTTTGGCGTTTTTAAGAACTGTTCCTGATTTTCAGGGAGAATGTCTGAATCAGGATCTGCGCGGGAAACTCCCGAGAGACCTAAAAAGGTCACACCTAAATCTAAGGTAGGGTTTTTGAACATTGCCCATCTATCTATCTAAATATCTATTAATACATCAATCCATCTATCTATCTAAATATCTATTAATCCATCCATCCATCTATCTATCTAAATATCTATAATCCACCAATCCATCTATCTATCTAAATATCTATAATCCATCAATCCATCTATCTATCTAAATATCTATAATCCATCAATCCATCTATATTTCTATCTTTTCATTTATTTATCTAATCATCCATTTAGCTATTTATCTACCTATCTATCAGTTTCCATTAAATCACTGCTATCTTTATCCATATGTCCATCTTTCCAGATGTTCATTTTTCCATCTATCCATCTATCAATCGATCCATTTATTCATCTATTTATCAATCTATCTGTCCGTCTATCTGTTCATCCATCCATCCATCTATCCATCCACCTATCCACCTATCCATCCTTTTATCCATCTATCCATCTATCCATCCTTTTATCCATCTATCCATCTATCCATCCTTTTATCCATCCTTTCATCTATCCATCTATTTATTCATCTATCCATCTATCCATCTATTTATCCATCTATCCATCTATCTATCTATTTATCCATCTATCCATCTATTTATCCATCTATCTATCCATCTATCTAGGCTCTGGGAACCTCCTCTAAACGTATCCTGAAAGAACATTCAGAAATTACCCTAGATCCTCCTCCCAACTGTAGTGCTGGGCCCAAGGTAATCAAATTATCAATTGTTTAATTGTTTGATCAAGTTTATTGATCACGATTACTAGCTAAAGTGCCCGGCGTTGCATGTTTATCCATGGGTAAAAATTCAGCAAATTTGGTCCAGTCATTTGGCCAGCTATAGCTAACATATATATAAACAATAGATTTGACATCTGACTCATGGGTCAATTGAATTAAATATTTGATCATTTTTTTAAATTTTTTGTTGTTGATCAATTTATGCTTTATCATTTTGATTAATTCAATTTTATCAATTTTAATCAATTGTTTTCTAATTACCCCATCAATAGGTTGTATTTGATTTAAAGGGATTGTAGGGGTAATGTAAGAACACTTTATTTGTTGAGTGGTCTGTCTGATTCACAACGGTACTTGATGAAGAATGATTTAGATATCTTTATTTTCTAGTCTTAAATTGAGTGCCTAAATTTGTGACGTCATTCGCGGAAGTGGGTACAAAACGCTAATAAAAAAACGCCCAATAACAAAACAGCCAACAAAAATTACCATGCCCAATTGGGCTTTTTGTAATAAGGCGTTTTGTTGCATTGCACTGGGCTTTTAGTTTCGACATTGGGCGTTTTGTACCCACTCCCAATTTATTGTACGCACTTAAGTTTCCTGGCACTCTATTTTCAGCTTGAAAAAGTAGGATATCTTCGTGGTCGATGACCGGACTTCAAAATTATCTTTCTTCTTTATAAAGGAAGAGTCCTTTGAAAGTTGAATTACATATATAAAGATATGATTTTTATTAATGATTTATTTATTAATTGATTGATTGATTATTTTCAGAGTGACAATCTGTTTGAATGGATTGCTACGATCCTTGGTCCCCCTGGTTCTCCATATGAGGAAAAAACAACACAAAACAAAAATTTACCCATTTAAAAAATTCTTTTTATTTATTAGATCTTATTTTTTTCTTTTAGCAGGTCCAAGGATAAATTAAAGTACAAGGTGTTTTTAATCTCGTCAATTTTGAAACTTTGAAACTTTTTCATTTTTGTGATATTTTTGTTTTGAAAGTAGATATGGAAAGCTAATTATGGGTGGTTATTGAATTTTTTAAAGTCCGCGAAAAAAATCAATAAATATTTCAGTTCTCATATTTTCTTACTTCTATTGGCTACTTAGTACAGATTTCATATTTTCTTACTTTAAACCTCAGAAACTGTTGCAAATTTTCAACATATTTTTTTCACAACCTAGCACTGCCTATTAAACGGATACGCTGCAAATTCCAGCTCAAAAGCTTTAATAATGAGGGCACAGCGTACAAAAAAACCGGGCTCCAAACGCAGGGCTCTCTTGGTCATTGGGTTTTAGTGTTATAACAACATGGGCGGGAGTGGAGGCGACAGGGTTTTTGACGCTGCGCCCTCATTTATCGACTGATTTGACAGTAATTTGCAGTGAACCCTCTCTGTGACTAGGTCTAAGTTGCCGCAAGATTTTAAAAAGTTTAAAAGATCGGAGCATTATTATTGGTCTGCCCCTTAGTCAGAAGTTGAGCCGACGTCCGGCCGCTGAAAACTTTTAAAGTAATCAAAGCCAAGAATAAATAAAAAATTTTGATCTAAATGTTTCTACTATGAGACCCAGAAATCCAAGGAAATGTAAGACGACTTTTGACTCAAGTTTTTAGTTTTAAGTAGTTCAATGAACAATGAACATGAAACACTTCAAGTTACTGGAAAAAAAAGTATTTGCTCAATAATATCATTAAATAGACATAAGATTGCCGAAATATCGTCTTCTTATTCCATAGTTTTATAAATACCACTGTTGCAGAAGCATTTAGTGGTTTCCATTCATTTAAAAGAAACTTAGTCTTAAATTCAATATTTATTTCGAGAAATGATTGGTTCAGGGGAATATATCTTACCCCCTCTCTTGAAAGTTTCCCCTCAATTGTTAGGTTAATGTTTGTTAGGGGTTATTAGCTGAATTCGGGACAAAAAATGATTTCGAGGGGAGAAATTATAAACTTTAGAATAAAAAAAATCAGAATAGTGCCTCGAAAATCCTTCCCCACACCCCTAAGGGGCATTTGGAAAATATATACCCCTGTGTTTTGAGGCTTTTTTCTAGCATTAAATATACAATGTTGTTTTAACCCCAGGGAGGAGTCTTTCATCTCGATATATTGTTCTCTAGAGAGTATCCATTCAAACCACCCAGGGTAAGCATCACCATCAGATTAAGCTTAACTCGTTACTAATTGACGAGTTGAACTTGTTCTAATAAGTTAAACTCATTAAAAATTTACGTTTCCATGAGTTAATTAAATTAAACTCGTTACTTGAACGCTATGTTTAAGGTTAAACTCTATCCTATAGAGTTAAACTCGTTTATAATAAGTTAAATACATTTTGAATGTTTTAAAACTCGCTCCTAACAAGTTTAACTTGTTCCAAAGAAGTAAAACTCTTCCTAATAAATCAATTCATATCATTAAGTTAAACTCGTTCCCAACTACTTAATTTCATTTAAAATTGTTTCCAATGAATATAGCTCATGTTTAATAAGCTAAACTCGTAACTAATAAACTTGCCTCGTTCCCAAATCATTCAAAACCTTCCTTATAACTCCAACATTGTTTTAATATATTTTGCATCTCGCATAAAGATTGGACTACTATATCCAAGGCAAACTGTTTGGATATACTCAAGGATAGCTGGAGTCCAGCACTTACTATATCCAACGTAAACTGTTTCGATATACTCAAGGAAAACTGGAGTCCACCACTTACTATTTCCAAGGTAAACTGTTTCGATATACTCAAGGATAACTAGAGTCCAGTACTCACTATATCCAAGGTAAACTGTTTTGATATACTCAAGGATAACTGGAGTCCAGTACTTACTATTTCCAAGGTAAACTGTTTCGATATACTGAAGGATAACTGGAGTCCAGTACTCACTATATCCAAGGTAAACTGTTTTGATATACTCAAGGATAACTGGAGTCCAGTACTTACTATATCCAAGGTAAACTGTTTGGATATACTCAAGGATAACTGGAGTCCAGCACTTACTATATCTAAGCGAAACGTACAAATTTCAGTATTCACACCTGATATAAATTGATTAAAATTAAAATTGCCAAGAATATTTTTTTTTGTGTTCTCTGTTATTTTTGATACAACTAACACAAAGAAATGATTAGATTGTGCAGGGTGTCCCACGAAACATGACATTTAAGAGACGAAATGAAGGTCGTCTTTGATCTTTGAAAGAAATTGCGGCATTCATGGATTTTATGTGGTAGGTGCTGTTGAGTATCTGCTCTCTGCTGAGTGATTGTAATCCCGCGGATCCCCTGGTTGGGAGTATTGCAACCCAGTACCTCGCTAACAGAGAGGAACATGATAAGATTGCTAAACTCTGGACCCAGAGATACGCCACGGCGTCGTAGATTTATCCCCGGCGCCAGCAACCGACGACGTACAAGTAGATTTCACGGATTTCCTCGCATCACGGAGTTCCCGGATTTTCTGACAAACTTTCTCATTAATCATCATTTTTTTTTGACAGGGTTTAATTGATTCAAATTTAAACCTATTAGATCTAAAAATACAAAAATGTCAATGATATGAAATACTTAATTTTTAAAAACTAGGAATTAGATATTTTGAACCTCTAAATGTTTAAGGATTCATCAATTGTATTCTATTAGTAACCAACAAATTACTTTTTTCAATTCATTGTGTACCGTACCGTACCCAGACCATAATCCTTTGTACTCTTGAACCTTTCCCTTGTATGTAATGTATATTAATCATAATCCTTGTGCAACTGTGGCTCAAATTAGTTTGTTCAGTTCACCAATAATTTTAATCACCAATAACAAATATATTAGATGCTGGAAAGTGTTCAATAATTATTATCCCACGTGCCATTTTTACTCATGCATTCATTAATTTCAAACATTAAACAACATTTTTTTTCTTCAAAATCGTCATATTTAGTTAGTGTATTATTGGTGTGGTATCTCTCTCAGTATTTAAAGATTTTTTTAGAAAACAATGGACAGGGAGACGAAAAAACCACCGCCATTTTGAAAATTACGCCTTATTAAATAATCCTGCCGGCGCCATCTTACCCAAGCCGCTCGAACTATGCCAACATGAAACGACTCAGGAAAATTCTAGAAAAAATTCAAACTTTAAGTTAATTTGAAAACTTTTTTATCTTTTAAACTAAATTGAAAAAGAACCGGTTTCACTCTAGAATTTCAAGGTTGCGACGCCGCAAGGCCGTTTTCCTCGTGCTTTCTTTTGTACTTAGCTGCCTTGTTTACAAATATGCCTTTCCTTTTCAAGTACATCTTCAGGTAGGTTTAAGGGACTGTTCCAGAAAAAGGACATTTTGATTCATAACCCTTCCATTTAAACCGCCGCGTAACCAGAAATACAATGATGGACATTTCCTAGGTCGGACATTTTATTCATAATTTCAGACATTTTATTCATAATTTCAGACATTTTATTCATAATTTCAGACATAATTGTTAGATAGTGCATCGTTTTGTCCTGAACCAACTAGTACTTGTTTATTTATTTAAATTTATTTTTCATCTAAAGAAATTGATTGTATTTCTTAATTTTACCGCCTTTTGACCAACATTACCGACCTATGATTTTCCCAACAGAGGGAGGTTAAGTTATTTTTCGTCCCTTGGGACAGTCATGTAAAATAACTATCTGTTCTGCGAAGTTTTCGGGAAAATATTCATCTTTAAAAGACCATAAATTGTGTACAAATACTTTTCCGGGAAATTAAAAATTTTACCAAACCACGAGTTCCCTCGACCAATTTTGTCTAAAAAATATTCCTCGCTGCGCTCTGGATGTTGTAGTTAAAATTCGTCTTTGAACCCTTGGTTGAGTAAAATTCCCTTAGCCTTCCTGTAAAGTAGTTGTAAATAATTGAAATTTTTAAGGATCTCCTGACCTTGGATTTATGTCCGGCCTGTTATGGGGAAAATTTATGCAATGAAATAAAAACAGGTTCGTGGCTTAGTGGTTAAAAGTTAATTATTATGTATGATGATAATGATAATAATGATGATTTTGATGATAATGATGATATTGATGATTTGGATGATAATGATGATAATGATGATATTGATGATTTTGATGATTTTGATGATAATGATGATAATGATGATAATGATGATAATGATGATAATGATGATAATGATGATAATGATGATAATGATGATAATGATGATAATGATGATAATGATGATAATGATGATAATGATGATAATGATGATAATGATGATAATGATGATAATGATGATAATGATGATAATGATGATAATGATGATAATGATGATAATGATGATAATGATGATAATGATGATAATGATGATAATGATGATAATGATGATAATGATGATAATGATGATAATGATGATAATGATGATAATGATGATAATGNTATACAACTAGATAAACAGATCTGTAGCATGTCAGGGGTACAGCCCTGTAATACAGTCCAGGTATAACATGCTTACACAACTAGATAAACAGATATGTAGCATGTCAGGAGTACAGCCCTGTAATACAGTCCAGGTATAACATGCGTATACAACTAGATAAACAGATCTGTAGCATGTCAGGAGTACAGCCCTGTAATACAGTCCAGGTATAGCATGCTCATACAACTAGATAAACAGATCTCTAGCATGTCAGGAGTACAGCCCTGTAATACAGTCCAGGTATAACATGCATATACAACTAGATAAACAGATCTGTAGCACGTCAGGAGTACAGCCCTGTAATTCAGTCCAGGTGTAACATGCGTATACAACTAGATAAACAGATCTGTAGCATGTCAGGAGTACAGCCCTGTAATACAGTCCAGGTATAACATGCGTATACAACTAGATAAACAGATATGTAGCATGTCAGGAGTACAGCCTTGTAATCCAGGTCAGGTATACCATGCGTATACAACTAGATAAACAGATCTGTAGCACGTCAGGAGTACAGCCATATAATACAGTCCAGGTATAACATGCTTATACAACTAGATAAACAGATATGTAGCATGTCAGGAGTACAGCCATGTAATACAGTCCAGGTATAACATGCGTATACAACTAGAAAAACAGATCTGTAGCACGTCAGGAGTACAGCCCTGTAATACAGTCCAGGTATAACATGCTTATACAACTAGATAAACAGATATGTAGCATGTGAGGAGTACAGCCTTGTAATCCAGGTCAGGTATACCATGCGTATACAACTAGATAAACAGATCTGTAGCATGTCAGGAGTACAGCCCTGTAATGCAGTCCAGATATAACATGCTCATACAACTAGATAAACATAAATGTAGCATGTGAGGAGTGCAGCCCTGTAATACAGTCCAGGTATAACATGCTCATACAACTAGATAAACAGATATGTAGCATGTCAGGGGTACAGCCCTGTAATACAGTCCAGGTATAACATGCTTATACAACTAGATAAACAGATCTGTAGCATGTCAGGGGTACAGCCCTGTAATACAGTCCAGGTATAACATGCTTACATACAACTAGATAAACAGATCTGTAGCATGTCAGGGGTACAGCCCTGTAATACAGTCCAGGTATAACATGCTTACACAACTAGATAAACAGATCTCTAGCATGTCAGGGGTACAGCCCTGTAATCCAGTCCAGGTATAACATGCTCGTACAACTAGATAAACAGATCTGTAGCATGTCAGGAGTACAGCCCTGTAATACAGTCCAGGTATAACATGCTTATACAACTAGATAAACAGATATGTAGCATGTCAGGAGTACAGCCCTGTAATACAGTCCAGATATAACATGCTCATACAACTAGATAAACATAAATGTAGCATGTGAGGAGTACAGCCTTGTAATCCAGTCCAGGTATAGGTCCTCACTTTGTAAATTCATTTTAGTTTAGAAGTACATAACGTTTATAAAAGCCTGATTTATTGAACTTGACAAATAAATCGATATCGACTAATGTTTTAATGTTTAGGGCATTGAAAAGCTAGTAAGTGAGTTAAAAATGCCGAAAACTGATCTTCAGGTGCCAATAATAAGAAAAAAAAGATAATATTAATAATAATGATTCTAACAACCATAGTTTTAAAGAAATATAACTTAATTAAAATTTAATTTAATTGGATCAGGATCTCAAAACAATGAATATTGTTAATTGCTAAAGAATGGTCTTCGGTACCTTCCCAAAGGCATTTTCCCAAGGGTGACTTCCCAAGTATCCATTTTCCATTTTTCATTTGGCAACTTCCAAAATGTGCAATTTCCCTAGCGGCAGCTTTATAAAGGTTAGGTTAGGTCCTCTTAGGGCTGCAATTGGGCCCGAGCTCTGCGGCTAGGACAGACTTGGTAAGTTACCACTTGGGAAATTGCACATTTGGGAAGTTGCCACTTGGGAAAATCCCTTTGGGAAAGTACCTAACATCTTTAACAATTGCTCCTTATTGAAAACGACATTTTTTTTAACTCGAAATTGTAAGACTCTAGAGTAAGTGGGAGGGGAAGTTAAGGGGAGGTGGGAAGTCATTTAGCAAATTAACTTTTTTTATTTTTTCCTCTTTAGGGATTGGATAAAGGGGAGTTGTCCACTGTAACCTTGAGTTGGGAGAAGATGAAGGATAAAAACTGGTTTCAAGATACAGATATATTTAGGTGTACTGCACAACAATCAGAAGGTAAACAAGCAAACAGACACCAAAGCAAACAGACAAACACTCAAACAAATCAGAAAAAAGGAAAGTTTATAAAATTCTTACCTTTATTTTAAATATTTTATATCAATTTATTTTAGTGGATTTTTTGGTTCATTCGGTAATTCATCACAGTTCTAGACCTACGCTAGAAAATGTTATCTCCATTCTACTTATAAACCAAGGTAAGCTCTTTTTCATATTTGAAACAAAATTAACAATAATATCCATACAATCGTAAATAAGAAGATTTATGGAACAGGTTTACGTTTATTAAACTTTTAGCTGAAATAAGGTTATAATGGTGCCGATCTCGCTTGTTTTTAATTTAAGTAATGAATGAAACATCAGCATCAGCATCATATTCCTAATCATGAATTTTGATTTCTATAATATACACTGCGTTTCAAGTTATTATGCAAATAGGTTTTTAAGGTTTAAAAGGAAAAGAAGAAAAATGTTGAAAAAAAGTTTTGTAAAATAGACCTAAAAACTTAAAAATATGAAAAATAAGTGTTTCAAGTCATTTTGCAGATGACTTATATTAGACTGAAAACATAATTTTTTTAAATGAAAACGACAAATATGAAAATTATATTTTAACCAAAAAAGTACAAAAAAGTTTTCTTAATCCTCAATATGAAATCACATTCCTACGTAGCCTCCTGACCTCCTGATGACCTCCAGAAGCCTATTGTCCATGGAATTGGTTAGATTTTTTATTTACTCTTGCCTATCACTAGCTTCAGCTGTCTATACAACAGCACAAACCTCTCTCTGTAAGCTGTAATGCCTACCAGAGTGGTAAACTTACATCTTCAGAATGGCCTACAAGTTCCTTATGGGATCGGGTCATTTTTCCTTTTTGACCCTCATTTTTTTTGTCACTGAATCCTTGACTAGCAAGCCAACCCATGTTCTCCTTAGATACGTGCCATTGTCATGTTGGAATAGAGCCTTTTTTTAAACATCAGAATTGAGATTTCTGTACTAAAGCATAAAATGGTCCTCCAGGAACTCATAATAACCCTTGGACTGAAATTTGACAACATCCTTATTCCTCAACCTTGATTGGTCCAATGATCTCTTCCCTGATGATCCCTCTCCCACCCTCTTGCCTCCTTTTACGGCCCTGGGGGTTTTTGGCGTTTAAACCTCAAACTTTGGCCCAACCGTCTGGGCCATTAAGTATTACACGGCACTAGTTTGTAAAGACGACTTTTGAGAAGTCTAGCTTATATGATGTGGCCTGTTAGACTCTTATTAAACTGTGTTTAACTGGTAGCCTGGGGTGTTCTGTTCTGCTGACCTTAATTCTCGAATTTGTGAAATATTTTTTTGATTTCTTCGTCATCTTAATGATACATTTTGTACTAATTTTTAGCCGTTACAAAAGAATGAACTGTTCAGTGATTTCAGTTTTAAATCTTCAAAATTTTATTGTATTATGTACACTGTACAGTGTACACTGTACAGTGTACACTGTACAGTGTACACTGTACAGGAAGCAAGTTCCAGATCACCTTGATTTCCCATATTTCTGTGATTTAGATAACCAAGTTTCCACTTGCATAATAATTTGATTTGATACACTGTAAAAGTACAATTTTATACTTAGTGTTTACTGCTTACAGTTCAAGTACAACAAAATTGCAATACATATTTAAAAAGCTGATGAAAAACTCTGTTGTAAAATGAAGATTTTGAAAAATTTATTTCTGAGTCGGAATTTTAAAAAATGTACGTGCATAATAACTTGAAACGCAGTGTATTTATTCTATATTATTAAAAAGTAAAAAAAAACTTTTTTAGAGCCTCTTGTCTCAATGATGTTCAAGAGAAAAGATGACTGGCCTTTCCCTGAATACTTGGGCTCTTGTGGAAGGTATTTTCTACGGATATTATATTACCCATATTGAAAATACTTTAAAATCTCACTTTTGCCCTAAACTTAAAAGTCTTAATCAATACTGCCTTCAGTGTAAATATATCTTTGATATCATTATTTATAATTATATAATATGTATTGTTTCTATGAAAATATAGATATTTTTTAAGAAACGTTTCCATATCTTTTTTCACCCATTGAAGCTTACACCACAGTATTAAGAGGAAGTGTCTGATGAGTCCACTTAAGAAAATTACATAAATAATTTATTAACACTGGTTATATGGAAGTGTGTATATGATCGAATAGTTTACTTAGTTAAAAAAGGCATCAATATTTTTTCAAAAAAGGGGTTTTTAAGGGGGTGGCACAATGTTGCCAAGGGGGGGGGGCACGAAAAAGTGCCCCCCATACACAAATGCTCTCGTACGTCCCTGTTTTATAGGGGTGTTAATATTTTTACTGGGGTATTATATTTTACAGGGATGTTATATGTGTAGAATCTAAATTTCCACGGAAAGATTTATTGAGTGTTTATTTGCTATTATTATTATATTTACAGGAGTTATAAATTCTGAAATTGTTATTTTACTTCTTTGTCAAATCATCTTATATTAAAATTAAATCTAGGGATTGTTCAGCAGTAGCTCATTAGTCTTAATAGGGGTACGCCATCACATTCCCTACCAGGGGTTTAAAGCATGACCACTTATCAGATAGAAAACCTGATTTAAAAGAGTTAAAAGTCGTCATTGGAGTCTCATTCTTAGTGGTTAAACCTGTAAAGTGTAATATTTGCTTCAAAAATTAATTTAAAAAAAATCTATTTTGTTTTATTGTTTAAAGTTTAGCCTTGCTTCTTGAAAAAAGTTCTTCATGTAAAATAAAAAAAAACTACAAGTAATATCATAATTAAAGTTTATTATTTTTAAAAACTCAGTTGTTGAAAAATAGTGATTTTAGGTTGGCCATATTTGAATATATCGGCCCGAGCATTGCTGCACACTATTCTTCCTCTTGGCCTCTGCGCGCGTACTTTGCTGTACAACTGCTTCAGCTGGCTAAACGGTTTTCTAAACCAGATAAAACCGGTTTAGTGATTTATCCTACAGATTGGACCGCTCACAACTTTGCCGTGGACGAGGAGAATCGTGTATATTTAGTTGATCTAGAGGAAATCATTTCCCCCCACTTTTTCAAATATTTGTTAAAAAAACATTTTATCCCTTTTTTGGGGAAAATTAATGATTTCTATGGGTAATTAATTGACTGACTCCCCCCCCCCCTTAAATCTCTGAAGAACAACCCTACCCCGGACTCTCTCACTAAAATATATATCATTACCGTAATTGTATCAAATTATTAAATTTTATAAAACCTTTTTTAACTTTTCTACTCTATTCGCGCCTTTTTTGATTGAAAATAAAATGAGTTTAGAAATGATTTTCTGTATTAGGGAATAATTTTAGTGAATCAATCAATAATTAGAGAAAAGAAGGCACCAGGTAAGATTTTCAAGTGATCCTTCATCTAGACAGGGCCATGTCGGATTCATAACGGTACCTTAGATAATATATATGATAGAGTTATCCATCTTTTTCTGTCTGAATAATTTACTGAATTCAGTAGCCACCCTGAACTAACGAGAGAGAGAAGCATTCGGTTTCTTTTATTTGAAATCAAACGTGATTTCGTTTACAACTCATCAGTCTTTAGACTTACAGATTTGTTCATGTTATAATTTTTCATTCAAAATGTATATGCCAACAAAAACATATTTAAAATAAAAGGCTATAAAATTATGTAAAAGGGGTCAAATTGTGATCGAAAGTCACAGTTTTCTGAAATATGGACAGAACCATTAAATCCACGTGGTAGCAGTTCTCTTTATAAGAGACTACGATTTATGTTAAAGAAAGGAATTCAAAACATTTCCTGAAAAAACGACAATATCTTCCTAGTTGTTGCTCAGATAAAGAGGACCGTTGTGAATTGGACATGCCCCTCTGTAAGGCCACATCACATATTTGAATTATTAAGTTCACTTTGGGGTTGAAATGTGGGAAAATGGGAGTCTCCAAAATTGATTAACTGATTGTTAGAATTTTTCTATCCATTAATCTATCTATCTATTTATTATCTATCTATCTATTATCTATCTTTCTATCTATTATCTATTTATCTATTTATCTGTCGATTATCTATTTATCTGTCGATTATCTATCGTAGCTATCATTCAATATCTAGTATCTATATATTTATCTTTCGATCTATATTCTATCTATCCATCTATCTATCTATCTGTCTATCTGTCTATCTATCTATCTGTCTGTCTTTTTTATCTATTTATAAATCTTTTTGTCTATCTATCTATCTATCTTTCTATTAATCTATCTATCTTTTTATATCTATCTATCTATCACTCTCTCGCCTATAGATATCTATCTATTTAATTATCTATTTATCTAGGCTGGGACACCTATTATACTGCGGATAGGTTTGGTTGTACAAATTGTTTTAGTTTCTCTACAGCAGATCTTTGTACGCATGCAGAATCAGGTTATAGTAAACAATTCAATAATTAACAAGTAAATAAACAAGCAAGTTAATAATTAATCGAGTAAATTTACAAACAAGTAATAAACAAACGAGTAAATAAACAAACAAGTAATAAACAAACGAGTAAATAAACAAACAAGTAAATAAACAAACAAGTAAAAAAACAAACAAGTAAAAAAACAAACACGTAAATAAAAAAAATTTGTAAATAAACAAACACGTAAATAAAAAAAACAAGTAAATAAACAAACGAGTAAAAAAACAAACAAGTAAATAAACAAACAAATAGATAAACAATAAAATAGATAAACAAACAAATAGATCAACAAACAAATAGATAAACAAACAAATTACAAAAGCAAACAAGTTTATAAACCATGAAGTTTATATAAAAACAAGTTTATAAGCAATCAATTTTATAAGCAAATAAGTTTATAAACAAAAAAGATTATAAACAAACACGTAAATAAAAAAAACAAGTAAATAAACAAACAAGTAAATAAACAAACAAGTAAATAAACAAACTATTTAATAAACAAAGAAATAGATAAACAAATACAATTGACCGACTATTTTTGAGTGAACCCTTTAGTACCTCTAGGGCAACAAAGGCTAAAAAATTAGATTTTTTAAAAATTAGATTTTTTTTAATTCAAATTTTTTTTAAATTCAAATTTTTTTTAATTCAAATTTCTTTAAATTCAATTTTTTTAAATTCAAATTTTAAAATTCCAAGGGCAACGCCGGGCCTTTTAATAAATTTATAAACAAGCAAACTATCTAAAAATGAATAAACGATCGAATTAAATAATTGTTTTTGATTAGATCACAACTACCATGGTGTTTGTGGAGGTCTTCTAGCACCTCAACCTTACTCTCCAGGACTAGCAGGAGGACTTCTTCATTCAGTTCCTAGAAATATACTAGCTAGGTAGGTCATTCATTGGTTGGATATTCATTGGTAGGTCATTCATTGGTAGGTCATTCATTGGTAGGTCATTCATTGGTAGGTCATTCATTGGTAGGTTATTCATTGGTAGGTCATTCATTGGTAGGTCATTTATTGGTAGGTCATTTATTGGTAGGTCATTCATTGGTAGGTCATTCATTCTTCCTTTCATCCTTCCATTCATTCATGCATTCATTCATTTTATCCTCATTTATTCATTCAGTTATTGCTATTTAGTTTTTAAAATTTTATCTATATATATTTAATTTCTTTTTTGGTCTCTTTCAGTGAATAATTGATGAATTGATAAATTCTTCAAATGACAAAAATATTGAAGGGACTGAAGGTAGTAATTTCAATTGACCTTCCATGCGAAGACGACAATGCCCGAATTTACATAATATCCAATTAAAAGCTTTGTCTGATCAAATATGAATTTGATGTTTTTAATTTTGAAAACTAATCAATTTAAATTCATTTTGTGATTTCTTTACAAAAGTGGATTGCTCATTTCTACTGCTGGAAAACTGAAAATAATTATCAGAATTAAACAGTTTTAAAGCTAGTAAAACCACAATATCTTTCACATTATTTATCAGATGAAGGTTTCAAGGGTACCATTGTGAATCTGACATTGCAATCTTTGCATAGAGGGCTACTTAAAATTACGCTTACTTTCCCTTTAAATGAATGATAAACTATTTGCCAGGCATCCTCTGCTACCGAGGTTACTGGATGAATGCTGGAAATCCTCTAAACCTGGAGGACGGGAAGAGGCCGCTGATCTTATTATTGAGATCCTTCGCTCTGAACTGGTTGATCTTGATCTTCAAAACCTAACATGAGACGTTTAGATCTTGATATTTTTTTGTCTTTGATTTGATCTTCATTATCTTACACTTAATGCTTTGATCATGATCTTCAACGCCTCACTTAAGTCTTGATAGATTCAATATTTTATATATGACGCTTTTATGTTGATCTTACATCTTTAATTTCTAACATGAGACACTTTGACCTTGATCTTCATTATCTTACATGAGACTTTTTCATCTTGATCTTCAAAATCTTACATTTGATGCTTTGATCATGATCTTCAAAACCTCACTTATGACGTTTTGATCTCGATTTTTTAAATCTTACATTCTCTGATATTGATTTGAAAATCTTACACATATAATTCCGATTAAGAAACGCCCTAAAAAAGTTCTTCTCATGCTTGGTCTTAAATTCCGTAGATTTTTATGGTTTAAACTTTTTAAAGTGATCTCATTTGATTTTTTAAATCAACCGAATTGACCGAATTTGAAGTGGTGTTTACATTTTCTGAAAATTGCACATAAAAAAGCTTAAAGTGACATTTTTTATTTTAGATTTGAAGCTATTGTCAACATGACAATACAAGCGTACTGCCATGCTATTGACCACAATTCTAAATAAGGTCACAAATTGAAACTTATTTTTTGATTCTCATAAAAAAAAAAATCTTGAATTTCTACTATTTCATATAATTTTCAATTAACAGAGGCACTTTCAGTATTGATAAAGGATGGATTTTTTAAATCGGGCCCACATTTTTTGTGTGACCTCGGGTAACTCCAGGGAAGGTTTATGGATGACCGGATTTTTCAAAAATTTGCTTGTAACACAAAAATCTACGAAATTTTATTTATAAAATTCGCGAAATTTTTGTTTGTTTTTGCTTCACAAAGAGATCATGTTCACAATTGAAATTGAAGATGGGTGCAAATTTTTATTTTTGAATTTAAATTATAGTTTTAAAGTTTGGATTTTTACTCATGCGGGAAAAACTAGGTGTCAAAATGCCAGGCAAAAAATTATTATTTATGTTAATGTTTTATGTTATTTATTCTGAATGTGATATCTTTACAAACTTGCTCACTTAAAGGGACTGTAAGCGTAATTTCAAGTTACCCTTCATGCAAAGATGGCAATGCTCGACTGACTCACAGCGCTACCTGAAAAGCTTTGTCTGATCAGAGATCAAGAATATTGAATTAGATATCAATGTTTATAATTTCGAAAACTGATTAGTTTTAATTGTAATTTCTTACTAAAATTTCTTTCACATTTTTGATGAGATTAAGGTTTCGGGGGTACCGTTGTGATTCGGACTTTGCCAACTTTACATGGAGGGTCACTTGAAATTACGCTTACAATCCCTTTATTATGTGCTTTCATCTATGTCATTGTTATATTTGATTGTTGTGATTTATAAAAAGAGGAATTTATAATTTTAAATTTATATAATTTGTTAACATATTTTGTTCGTTTCTATCTAAAGATATAACTCTATTCCATGTTATTATAATGCAGGGCTATCCACAAAGTATTAGACTCCAATGACAACCCGAAAACCTGATTGTTTGAGGGTTTATTGTTTTAACAAAGAAACATTTGTGAAAGTTCGGGGAACCATAATTTTGTACAGTCATCTTGAAAGTCTTATGTTTTTTGGGTCACCCTGTAACCTTGTAACCCTGAATCTGTTTTAATTTTTTGTTTTTAAATCAAAAATATGTAAATATTTCAGATGTCTAGAAAACATGCAGTTTCCGCTAATTACTTTGTATGGACTAACCCTTCCATAACAGGTATATTTATATTTACAGGGACTGTGCAGTGGACACGTAATTTCTAGTGACCCTTTATTTAATAATTGACATGCATAATTCACAACAGTACCTTTAAAACCTTGCAGTGAACAGAGACCCATTTCATCTAATAAATTGATTAACATAAGATTGGTTCAATGTCGTCTTTTTATTCCACAGTTTTATGGATATTTATAGATTTTATTTAGCGTTTATCCTGTTTGGACTTTTCTACCTGCTACCGGTCAGTTTATTTAACCCTGCTCTCTTGCCTCAGCTTCCAATAGTAGGTAAGTAGGCGGGGGGTGGGGGGATTGCTCAAAAGTTTTATTAATATTTTTACTACATATTCATGAAGCAAATGAAGTATGTTCACATATGCCACATATAGTATGTTTAGGTATGTACATGAATTAGTTTTAGAAATGTACATGAAATATGTTTAGATGCGTTCATGAAGTATGTTTATATATGTACAATGCACATGCAGTATGTTTAGATATGTACATGAAGTATGTTTATATATGTACATGAAGTATGTTTAGATATGTACATGAAGTATGTTTAGATATGTACATGAAGTATGTTTATATATGTACATGAAGTATGTTTAGATATGTACATGAAGTATGTGGAACAGTACAACATGCTGATCAAGTTTGTGTTCATCATCTCTGTTTACATTCATGTCATTGAAACCCTGGTCGCTATTGCTCTCTGTAACAGGTCATTTCTTTTTGTTTATTTACAATTTTTTTATTTATTCTAATCGGTTCGCAATTTTGCTAACAGTTTTTATGGTTTTTGTTTAGGCATCAGCTGGGATTCTCAGCCACGCTGAAATGGACGCTCAGGAAAGTTTCAAGAATGCCGCAATACTTTTGAAAGACGCCATCTTTGAAATTTCATAAATTATGATGTTAAGGTTAAAACAGTGCTTAAGATACATTTCATTTTGATCTGAAATCTCATGAATATCAATCTAAATTTTGCTAATTTCTCTTAAATTTCCAAGTTTTCAACTTCTGTGTTTGCCATTTTTATGCAGATGCAGATTATGAAGGTTTTTAATGATATTCTCTTTTGTTGACGCTAAATATGCACGTTTCGAGAGCAAAAAGATCTTACCACTTGAATCCGGGGATCCCAAAATATTTTTTCAGATTCGGATCCAAGAAATTAGTTAAGTCATCTCGAGATTGAATCGTGGATAGTAGGACCTCCGAATAAAAGCCTGATTTGATTTGAGGATCCATCTAAAGTTCCGGATATGATACAAATTGATAAATTAATATATCAGTAAGCCTGTTATTTGAAAAGAAATAATTCTTGGCTTTGAATTTAGTGTTGCTGTGAACGGAGTTTTCTCTCTGAAGTATTTACTCAATCCTCAAAATAATCTGTAAATCATAACTTCTCCTTCATCATTAAATACAGAATCTTCACTAATTTCAGTATCAGCTTCAAACTCAACTTCTGATTCATCATTAACTTCAAATATATCAATAACTCCAGATTCAGCATCATCAGTGAAATCTATTTTTTCCACAATTATCAGATAATAAGTATAATTCAATTACACACCTCAAACATATGCTCTCTACTCAGTAACTAGGAGAATAACCAATAATCAAAACCTGAAAACAGTTGATTATTTATAAACAAGACAAATGAACTGAAAGCTGACTTTGAAAGCGTGAAAATGGACAAAGAACTTGATTTATCTCATGATAGTGAAAGTGTGAAAGTGGACAAGGAAATAAGATGCGAAAATGTTAAAATTGACAATGAATCTGATTGTGAACACGTAGACCAGGAAACTGATAGTAAAAATGTAAAAATGGAAAATGATACCTCTATAATTGACAATGAATCTGATTGTGAACACGTAGACCAGGAAACTGATAGTAAAAATGTAAAAATGGAAAGTGATACCTCTAACAATGACAAAGTTGACAAAGAAACTGATTTGCCTTTAATGGCTAATATCGAAAGTGTGAAAATGTTAAACTATTTAATGGAATTATTTTGTGATTTTAAAAAGGTTGGTTTCAATATTTTCATCTCATTAATGATCCATATATTAAAGTTTCAATATTTTCATCTCATTAATGATCCATATATTAAAGTTTCAATATTTTCATCTCATTAATGATCTCTATATTAAAGTTTCAATATTTTCATCTCATTAATGATCCATATATTAAAGTTTCAATATTTTCATCTCATTAATGATCCATATATTAAAGTTTCAATATTTTCAACTCATTAATAATCCATATATTAAAGTTTTACATAAGTATACTTTTTTAAAGCTTAAAGGGACTGTAAGCGTAATTTTAAGTGACCTTCTTACTATTAGAGAGGCATGCCTGATGTTACAGTGTACACTACTTACCGTTCTAGTATCACATAGATTCAGCTTGCTTATAACAAGTCTTATCAATCTTTAATACAGGGTATCACATAGATTTAGCTTGCTTATAACAAGTCTTATCAATCTTTAAGACAGGGTTGACTTTGAAGTGTCGCAACGCCTTGGGCTTTGATTTTACCGCTCTAACTCACTTATGCTTTTCTGTAGCTCTTTACATGTACATTTTAGCCCCATGCAGCACTTGTTGTTACCTTTGGTTTTTAAGAAGTTATTGGCAAAATTCTCATCCATGCTTGAGAGCTTGTAATCACAGTAAGTACACTCGCGCGGTTTCTTGGCACTTAATTTCCCGCTATATAAATAAAAATATCTACGAAATATTCGATCAAATCGTAAATCAGACATGCCACTCTACAAATGTAAGGTCAGTCTCTTGAAATGCTAAAAAGTTTTGAATATTTAGGAAATATTTTCTGGTTCTTTGATTTTACATCTCCAGTTTCTGGACCAGGGATTAATTCAAAATTTTCTCTTTCTACAAATTATGAAAAAAAAATTTCTATTTTTTGAATAGGTCAACAAAAATATTACAATTGTCTGTTTATCCTTTTCTTGTTATTTTTACAATTTTACCTCAAATGCTTCGAAAATTTTGATCAATGCTGTTGAAAAAAAATCTTTTTTGTTAAAAGCATCCATCACTTTTTTCATGTTGTTGTATCAATTTTTGATCAGGGGGAATTCTAAAAAAATATTAAAAGGTTTAAATAAAAGAATATAAAACGTGAGTTAAGCTTGAAAAACTGAAAAGGGAAAAACAGAACATATCTGTTGGGCAACATTGTATTTTTTTTTCTAAAAACTGGAATTTTGAATTTAATTTTAAACAGACGACGGCTAGTGTAATTCTTGACTGTTGTGACATCAACATCATCAAAGTTGTTCTCCTCCAACCCCCCGGGGGGGAGCAGGAGTTGGACTTTGAGATCACAGAGTGGGCGCTGACAGTGAGTTTATCCAGGGATAAAACTTTAACCACAGCGAGCCTATCAGGGGACAATTTTTCAAGTGAAATAAAGATTTATTATGAAACAAAACCAGAATCAAGATCATTGCATTGGAGGTAAAAAAAATAATTTTGTCTAACAATATTTCATATAAATTTTTTTTCTTAGAAAAGATTTTGATGGGAATTTATGTGTTTACACTCCAGCCTCTGCAATAAATAACAGGGGCCTGTTTCCGTGCCAGGTAAGAATGGAATTTTAGGCTTGAATATTAGGTCTCTCAATTTAGACCCCCTAAAAATTTCAAATACAACAATGGTTAATATTGTTCACATTGATGACTGCCTTCAGGGAATTTTTGTTGATTTAAGTCACATAGAAGAGTTTGGGCAAGCCTTTTAAAGTTTGAATAACAAAATTAAGGTCTGATCATATTTGAATTTAACAAAAAATTGGTTTGAGGATCAATGATAACAATAAAAGTAAGGGTGTGACAATTTGGCACTTTGTTGATAAAAATGTTCATATCCCTTCAGCACGTGTCCTAAAAGTTTCTATTAAAAAAAAAAAAAAAAATTCTCTCACTTTTAAATTTATCCAGCGCGCATCACATATTTGTAAATATTAAATCATTAGTGCAAGCAAAAAAAAAATTTTCTTCAAAATATGTCGATATTGGTATCAAAAGATCCGTCTTGAAACACTGAACCCAAAAATGTTAAATTCATGAAACGCGGTTGAAAATCAAACAATTTATAGGGAAAAGTCCTCAAAAATATTAGTTTTTTGGCCCTAGATCAACCAATTTTGACAATTCAAAAAAAAATAACAACTGAGCAATATTCAGTGGCTCGAGGCGCAATTTTTGAACCCATATCGACATGTTTCGAAAAAATTGAAAAATCGACGTCCCTTTTTGATTCTTAATTTATAAAAAGGATTGATTTGAAAAAATTAAATTAAATTTCATAACATTCTTTGGAAGTTTAATTGAACATTTTTTTGCTGCGTTTTGGTAAACTAAAAAAAATTCTTATTGTCCCAGCCCAGGGTTAATAAAAGCCACATTATGTGCACATTTCATTTTTTGAGTCTAAATGGAACACCCTATAATAAATGGTAATACATGTTGCGATATAATAAGAGGTGTCACGTCGCGTTCTTTATTTCTGCTAGATACAAATGTCATGATGGATTATGAATTTGATACAGGTTGGAATGTTAAAAAGGATGGATACGAACGTCATTATGAATTTGATACAGGTTGGGTTTGATTGTTTATCCGATGTGGATACTAATGTTAAGGATTGGTAATAATGTCATGATTTTTGTTCTAATCATGATATGAACGTTGAAGATGGATACAAATGTAAAGGAGGGATGTCTACGAATGTTAATAAAGATTGTAGTTCAAGGATGGATACAAATGTTATGTTTGCTACTGCTAGCAGGTTTATACAGCCAAGTAGTTATTAAAAAAAAGTTATGATGACATACAAAAGTCGAATTAATATAATCTCCTGAAGTCATAACTTTTGTATTGTGAATTTTGAGATCAACCATTGATCTCAATCTTATGCAAAATGCATACCTACGCATTAATTTAAATCCTCTGCGGTATTCCCTGATGTTCATACCCTGAAGGGATGATTTAAATTTAGGGATCAGGCATTTATCCTAAAATTTAAAAGTGCTTTTATTGTATACCGAGATCAAGCATTCAAGATTAACAATATCCACACAAAATTTCCATTTTCTGAACTCAAAACTTTTGTTTGGTAAATCTCAGGATCAATCATTAATATCCATTAATATCCATTAATATTTATTAATATCCATTAATATCCATTAATATCCATTAATATCCATTAATATTCATTAATATTCATTAATATCCATTAATATCCATTAATATCCATTAATATCCATTAATATTTATTAATATTCATTAATATCTATTAATATCCATTAATATCCATTAATATCCATTAATATTTATTAATATCCATTAATATTCATTAATATCCATTTATATCCATTAATATCTATTAATATTCATTACTATCCATTAATATCTATTAATATCCATTAATATCCATTAATTTAATTGCTCTCCGCTATTTGATATTTGTACTTAAAATTTATTTCTTTTTCAATATCCCGCGGTGGTCCATGCAGGGATAACTTCAATTAAGGGATAAAGCATTTATCCTCAAATTAAAGGTGCTTTCATTAGATATCGAGATCAAGTATTCACGACTAATGATACTCCACACTAACGACCTCTGTATAAGGATATACCTGGAGCAATGTCTAGCTGGGAAGCAAGTATTCTTCTACCCCTAGAATCAAACATGAATGTATACACAACAGGTAGAATATATACTAAGAGAATGGCGTGTCGCCACTTTCCTGAGGCATTAGATTGAAATACTCTTTTCTGCTTTTTTGCGTAACAAACTTTAAGCATCTATAATTTGTGTGTATTAAAGGGACTGTAAGCATGATTTCAAGTGACCCTCCATGCAAATATAGCAATGCTCAATTTACAATGTTACCCTTAAAAGCTTCGTCTGATCACTAATGAATTAGATATTAAGGTTTATAATTTTAAAAACTGATTATTTTTATTGCGGTTTCTTAAAAAAAATGATTAACGCATTTCTACTTTAGGAAACTAATATTAGAATAAAATACTTACAAAACCTAGATTCAGGTGTCTAGGGTACATTTGTGAATCAGGCATTGTCATCTTTGCACGGAGGTTCACTTAAAATTATACGCTCACAGTCTCTATAATGGCTTTTTTGTACACAAAAAACGTCACATTTTTTGCAGTTCCTCCTCTCATGTCCCAGGAACACTTTATTGCTGGTCGAAATTTAAAAATTTGACTAAAACATTACAATTGAAAATCCGCCAATAAAAAAAAATAAAAATCTGTGCAAATTATTTGTTATTATGATTTACAAAGAAAAAAAGTGGCATCTAAAGCACATTTATAAACCACCTAAACTAATAAAAAAGGGGTTGGTGAAAAGCCTAGTGTTTTCCTATTTCTTGACTTAACATTATTTTTAAAAATAGGAGATGCACATGCACTGGTATCTGAGACGGTAAATTACAGAAAATATTGGTTTAAAAGTGGGATGGTGCTCCCTATGTCCACATTTGCTGTTGCAGTCGGAGCTTGGAGCACTCAAGACTTGTCTTTTCATCATACAGGGTTACACATACCTATTAGGTCAGTAGGACATTTACAATAGATACTTGGACTTTAGACATTGGCTAATGGACAATTACAATATATTGGACATGGAAGAGGGTCAAAAGACAACATGGAACATGGGACAAGGAATATGAAACATGGAACATGGGACATGGAACATGAGACATGGAACATGAGACATGATACATGAGACAAGGAACAAGATACAAGGAACATGAAACATGATACAATGAATATGAGACGATGAAGATGGTACATGGAACATGGAAATGGGACATGGAAATGGGACATGGAACATGGGACATGGGACATGGAACATGGAACTTGGAACATGGGACATGGAACATGGGACATCGAACATGGGACATGGAACATGGGACATAGACATGGGTCATGGAACATGGGACATGGAACATGGGACATGGAACATGGAACATGTAACATGGAACATGTAACATGAAACATGGGACATGGACAATGGACATGGGTCATGGGACAAGAAACAATGATGTATATCAGGTTGATAGGCCCTGAACAGCTGATAAGATCATCTAACCCTCATCTTCTTTCCTATATCCCGGAAGCTGTGAAATCAGCTGTTTCCATTCTAGGTCAGCCATTGTTATCTGATGTTTGTTTTATATTTTATTTCTAACTTATACTTTGTTCAAAATTATATAAAAGCTTTCTTTTTCAGCTTTTTCTCTTTCTTCTTTAAATAAAAAATATGAAATTATATTAAAATTGGCGGAGATTTATTTTAAATTGTCTAATTTTGAATTGATATTGTCTGATTGGGTCTTGAAATTGTCTGATTTGGTCTTTTAATTGTCTGATTTGGTCTTATAATTGTCTGATTTGGTCTTTTAATTGTCTGATTTGGTCTTAAAATTGTCATATTTTGTCTTTAAATTGTCTGATTTTGTTCTTTAAATTGTCTTATTTGATCTTGAAATTGTCTGAATAGGTCTTGAAATAGTCTGATTTGGGCTTGAAATTGTCTGACTTGGTCTTGAATTTGTTTTAAGCCTTGAATTTATTTGTCAGGTCCCTACCCTCTACCTAAGCTGGATGTTCTGATCGTATCCCGATGTTTCTCTGGTCTAGGGCTGTCCTCCCCCAATCTCATCTTTATCTCCCCTTCCTTACTACTTGGAGATATCTCTCTACTCGGTAAGATCTCCCCTTCCTTACTACTTGGAGATATCTCTCTACTCGGTAAGATCTCCCCTTCCTTACTACTTGAAGATATCTCTCTACTCGGTAAGATCTCCCCTTCCTTACTACTTGGAGATATCTCTCTACTCAGTAAGATGGCTTTAAGGGCGTTTACTGCACGATTTACAACGGTACCCTTAAAAGTTTTGTCTGGTCAGGCATGAATTAGAAATCCATGTTTTTGTTTCTTTAAATCTGTTTATTTTCATTTGCGGTTTCTCTCCGAAATTGACTTTCGTTTTACTTTCTTTTGAAAAGAAATGAAGAAATATCAGAAATAAAAACGAGAGTATCTTTCACATTTTTATCAGATTAAGGTTTCAAGGGTGCAGTTGTAAATCGGGCATAGCTATTTTTGCATGGAGGCTCACTTAAAATTACGCTTACAGTCCCTTTAAAGGTGATAAGTTCTTTTTTCGGGAAAATTAAGTCTCAAATCAAGTCTCCTGCATATAAAGATCAAAATAGGCTCTAACCTTGAGTCGAGTCTGATTTTAAACCAGTAAATTACTTTGACAAAACTTACCAATAACTTTGGGACTTTGGGACTTTAGCTTCAAGTTGAGTGCAATGTCAGATTCACAGCAATACGCTTAAAATTTTTGTCTGAGATATCCTTATTTTTCTAGCTGAAAATTGATTATATTCGCTTGTGGTTTCTCAGATAGATGTTTAAAGGGTTCAATTGTAAATCGGACATACCACACTTTAAATGGAGGGTTATTGAAATTACGCCAACAGTTCTTTTAACAATAATAATTTCAATTTTCATTATTTCAGTCAAGATTTCGCATGAGATTTGTCATGCTTGGTTTGGGATAATGCTGGGAGCCAAGGTATAGTTTGTGCTATTCTTAATAAAACGTAAGTGGTCTTTGTTCTTTGAAATAGTTGTGGCATTCATTTAGCAACTGAACTTTAGAAATATATTATAACAATAATATTTTTTTACATTTTTAATATTAAGGACTGGACAGAGGCTTGGCTGTCAGAGGGGTTTGCAACATTTTTAGAGGATTTTGTTCACCAGAGAACGTTAAAGTAGGTTTTAAGGATATTTTAAAAAGTTATGAAATCTATTTTAAACCTCATTCTGGATTCAATCCAATTGTTTGCTTTATTTAGAAGCTTGGGAGTTGACTCTCCCCCTGACTTGGTGAAACTAAGAGCATTGATGAAATTAAAAACTCTAGAGGGAGAACTAGAAAGTACATCAGCAGATCTTACTCAGCTGAGACCTATGAGAGGTGAGGGAAAGAAGGGAGGGAGGAAGGTAAAATGAGAACGGAGGAAGCAGGACAAGGGAAGGAGAAAGGAGGAATGTGGAAAAGGGGAGGGAGATGGAAAAGATTCAAAAAGTCATTTTATCAAGAATATATTTTTGGTTTAGTTGATTTAAATTTGATAATTTAGTTGCATATATGTTGACAATAAAGTTAATTTGATAAAAATTTATTTGATTTGATTAAAATTTTTTCTTTGATAGGGTTAAATTTATTTGTAATTTGTTTTATTTTGATTTAATTTGATTTTTTGATGATTAAGGTGTAAAACTGAAAGATGATTCTGAAACTGGTTTTGTAAAGAATGGATTGAACCCTCTTGCATCTCTCACCCAGGCTCATTACCTTAAAGGATTCTTTCTGCTTCACTATCTGATGAGTTTAGTGGAAGAGACGTCTTTTCTTAATCTTATCAGGAAATCAAACCTTAAACTATCAAATATTTGAAACTCCCCCAGTATCCTGTGTGAAACATGATTTTGAAAATAATTAATTATTGAGAGTAAATGATTGTGCGTATGATTTAAAAAAGTAAAAACTTATATTTTGTAGGTTTTTGAAAAAAATGAAAATCAGCCAATTTTGAATTTTATTAATTTCTGTTTTAAGCTAATGATTTAAAACACCTTCTATTCAAGCAGATTCTTTTATAATTCTATTGAGAAGTAATTTATCCCATCTTATGTCTTAATAAGGTTTGAAGAATAGGCGATATTTTGAAATGTTTAAAGGAGAATTGGTTGATTCTACTCAATTCCTTCAGATGTATTATCATTCCTTCAGAAACAGTATCAGGCAAGTGTACGCAGCTTTCCGGGCGCTTCGCGCCCATCTTATTCTTCGATTGTGAACATCTTCTCTTTGGGTACATTGTAAAATAAAAACAAAAAAAGTTCGTGGATTTTATAAAAAAAAATTCGTGGATTTTCTAAATTTAATGAAAATCAAATTTTGTTGAAGCTAAGTTTTGAAATCTTGATCATCCATAATTACCTTCCATGGGGGTTATGTAAGGTCCCACACTAAATTTGGATCCGATCGGTTCATTAGTAGTACTCTCTGGTTAGTCTGCCTTTTTGTTTCTTTGAATATCCAATCATAACTAATATACGTATACTCCTTGACCGATTTGCCTAAGATTTTTATTTGAGAACCGCAGAAATGGTGTTAGCTTCAAGGTTTAAGATTCTAAGTTTAGTGGGGGTTAACTTTTATTGTTTCCGGGCAAAGCCGGGTTTCCAAACTGGTTCCAAATAAATCTAAGAACGTGCCTACATAACTGATATAAACTTGTGTCTTTTTTTCAGAGTTTCACTGTCTGACTTGATCAAAACTTGGCTTGATTCTCATAGGCTTCCTGAACCTCTATCTAAACCAGTTGACTACCCCCTCCTACCAATTTTGAACTGTAAACACATTACCCTCTACCAAGTCGTGATGGACCTCCACAAGCAGATTCTCATCTTTAACACTAACTCCAAGCTCACAGGGCGCACTGCCTGTACCGTTTCTGTGCGCCATACCCCAGATTTCTCTGTGCTCGTCTTCTCTGAACAGCTGATTTTGTTCCTGGACTCTCTGACGTCAGAAAAGCTAAAGAGTTCAGTACTTAAGTATATTTACGACCAGAATGAGGAGATGATTAGATCCAACCTTGATGTTCTCCATCTTTGGTGTGAGATTGTAGTATTCAACAAGTTTAAACCCAGGTATTATTTCTTCTAACTTTTTACCTTTGCGACTAAAAATGAATTTGGAGAAGTAGTTGAACTAAGTAGACTGATTTTAAACATATGTCTTAACAATTAAAAAACTGACGCAGTAGATAATTGGTTGAACTCGGTTTCCGTAGTTCAACTTCTTTTCACTATTCATGAAATCTGTTTTTCTTATTCTCAAACACAATTTTAGCTAAATGTTAACTTAATGTTGACGTCCATTTAGTTACCGTATCTTCTCTCATACCCACCAATCTAGCTACCTTTCTTCCTTAAACATACCTACCTACCTAACCTACCTTTCTTCCTTTCTTACATACCTACCTACCTAACCTACCTTTTCTTCCTTTCTTACATACCTACCTACCTAACCTACCTTTCTTCCTTTCTTACATACCTACCTACCTGACCTACCCTTCTTCCTTTATTACATACCTTTCTATCTACCTACCTACCTACCTACCTACCTACCTACCTACCTACCTACCTACCTACCTACCTACCTACCTACCTACCTACCTACCTACCTACCTACCTACCTACCTACCTACCTACCTACCTACCTACCTACCTACCTACCTACCTACCTACCTAGATATGATGATATTGAGTACCTGCTAGTAGAGCACCAAAGTATGGGAGTATATCTGTATTCAGAACTAATATTCTCCAAGAATAAAATCCAGGTAAATTATCAGAAATTGTTCAAATTTTGTTTGTTTGTTGAAGGGATAGTTGACGATTTTACAATTATTCTTTAATTAAAGAAAATTGTTCAAGATTGTGTTTCTTGTCTTGTATTGGAGTGTCTGGAATTTTACATTGGAGTCTTCTATTAAAGTAATTGTTAAATCCCATTTTTTCATGACATAATGGAAATGTATATTTTTTTTAATAAGCGAATTTTTGGGTTGAAGGTATCAAAAAGGATGATAAAACTTCCCTTTGGATGTCCAATTTTTCATTATTTTCCCCCGAGAGCATCAACAATCTTGGAAATACTTTCCCCTTGATCCCTTTTTTAAATTTTGATTCAAATCTTTAATTCAGCAGTCCTATACAGTATACAGGGTTACCCACAAAGGAAAAGACTTCAGAGACGACTGTACTGAATTTACTGTGTCTCTATTCTTACATTCTTAATCTACTGCAACTTATATCTTGTCATCTTTGCTTGGAGGGTCTTTAAAAAGTTACGCTTACAGTCCTTTTAAGGTCTTCAGTAAAGTCTGAACCTATGTAGGTAGCTCTGAACTAATTGAAGAATAAACGCTTCAAGTTAAAAAGAATAATGTTATTTTTGATTTCAATAATTTTGCTTCAAATATCGTTTTTATTTTATAAATGTGAAAATATTCTTTTTTTTCCAGGTTCAGCTTTTTCACAAGGTTTTTGATAAGATAGAACAAGAACTCGATCCTTCTATCAGAACTGTTATCAGATCATTTATAGACCAGACTAATCTGGTAACCTCCAGTTCAGCTATTTAACCAGATAATACTAAAGGGACTCGAGGCGTAATTTCAAGAGTCTCATGGCCGATTCGCAACGGTACCCTTTTCTATCTTAAACCTAGTAAAACGACAATATCTTCCACATTATTGATCAGGTAAAGGTTTTAAGAGTACCGTTGTGAATCAGACATTGTCATCTCTGAATATTACGCTCACAGTTTCTTTAAAATAATTTTGAACAGTTAAATATTACAATCTGTGATTACATTTGTTGCAAAATACTCTCTACATTCCTGTTCTTGTTGTTGTTATAATGTATTATGTATGCATGATGTATGATTTATTAAGACTATGTTATTGACTTAAAGACTGAAGAAATGGATAAGTTTTTATTTTAATGTATTTACAAAAAATATCTTCATCGCTATTTAAATATGTAAAATTATATTTATATTTTTCTACTTCAATGTTAAAATAAAATTAAAACTGTTATTTTTAAAAATGTTTTCAGAAATCAGAAATGACGTTTTTTCTAAAATGTGTTCGGAGAAATATTGGTCAAACCGGTTCCGTTGTTTGTTTATCCTCAACACTCTGGTTCACCAGGCAGCTATTAAACAATAATGGGATTGTTCACTATTTTCCATTTATTCTTTTATTAAAGAGGTTCTTCAAGATTTTAAAAATTCTGCTTCGTTAAAAAATTCAGTAAATCCTAAAGAAATGACTCGGATCCATTTTTTTCAAAGGAATATGCATTTATTCTTCTGTTTTAGGGGTTCTTCAATATTTTTTATTTTTTTTTCACTTAAGAACAGGGAATGTTGAAAATAAGGCATTTTTTCTTCAATCCGAAGGAAAATTTTTGCAGTTTTTTTGTGATTGTGCAGGATTTACCTTTATTTTTTATTAGTTAGAGGGATTGTAGGTTTTACATTCATTCTTTAGCCAAAGAGAAATGTTCAAGATATTACATTTATTCGTTAATTAAAGAGAATTGTTTAAGATATTACATTTATTCTTCAATTAAAGAGAATTGTTTAAGATATTACATTTATTCTTTAACTAAAGAGAATTGTTCAAGATATTACATTTATTCTTCAATTAAAGAGAATTATTTAAGATATTACATTTATTCTTCAACTAAATGGAACTGTTCCAAGATATTACATTTAGTCTTTAACAGAAAGTTGTTCAAGTTATTGCCATATATAAAAAAAAATATTATTTGAACCTATTTAATCATAAATTTAGATCAAGATCAGAAATGAATAAAAATTGGAAAGATTCCAAAAGATTTAAATAAATTTACTTCTGAAATGAGATTGTAAGGCGGATATGATTTCAGACTGAAAAACAAATTCAATACATTTTACTCAATTTGTAACATTATTCCAAAACTATAATATTAAAATTTCTTTCTAAACATAAGTTTTTTTTATTTGACTAAAGTAACACTTCATGAACACGGAACATTTGGCAAACATACTTTTTTATTTAAATCCTTTTAATTTGTACTTGCTCTCATTGGTGAACGTACTGTATGATTGTATCTGTCCTTTGCTTTTTTTTAATTGTTCCGCTATTTTTTTATTCTGTTTATTAGTTCAAATATACAGGAATGATAAAACTTCTGATGAACCATCTCATAATACAGCATTTAACTATAAAGAAGGTAACGTTTATTGCTCAGTTTTAAAGGGATTGTCGTATTAATGCCCGATTCACAACGATACGCTTTAAACCTCTAAAATTTTGCTATTTAAATTGTGAAAAATATTGTCGTTTTTCTAAAGTGCTTAATTCTGACAATTTTCCTTCCATTGTCTTTGCTGAAGAATTCCGAAATTGTTCTGTTTAGAGAAACCTCTAATGGAAATTATCAATCATATATGATAAATCTTGAATATACCATTTAATTTTAATTATTCCAGTACCGTTGTGAATTGAACACAAATGGAGGGTCATTTCAAATTATGATGCCAGTCCTTTTAAGTGGGGGGGGGGAGGGTTCTTTTTATGCAAGGGGGGATTTTTTGTTTTTTTTTGTTTTGAAAATAGTAAGATTAATACTGATAATTTCTTTAGCTGACTAACTATATTTGTTTTCTTTCAAATATTTACAAATATTGTTACAGACGAATTACCCCCGTTACCGGCCAATCCGCCGAATATACCTTCTCCTTCTCTTACTCACGCTTTTTTACTAAAACAAGCCAGGTTAGTAAACGAGCAATCAATCATTCAGTTTTTAATTAATCAATCACACTTTTTTTCTAGTCAGTTAAGTATGCAGAATTCAGTCATTCAATCTTGTGCTACTGGACTCAATATTTGATAATATATATTATGAATTCAATTAATCAAGAATATATCTTATGAAATCAGTTAATCTTGTATTTTATGAACTCAATAAAAAGATTTTGTAATTTAGGGATTAAATCAATCAATCATATAGTTTATGAAAAAAATCAGTTTAACTATATTTCATTAATTAAATCAATCAATCATATATCATTTGTTTTTATTAATCTAATCATGTATCTTGTACAACTATATAGTTTTTAATTAATTAATATTATATTTTCATTCTTTAAACTATGATTTAAAATGTTTTAATATTCTCAAATCAATCAATTACTTTATATTTCAGTTTGTTATCCATAGACTCCTCGTCAGCTCTTCTCAATAGAACCATGGAAGCTCTTTTTGATCTTAACAGGTTGGTGAAACCATATTTGAAAATGATCAATTTTTAGAAAAAAAGCAAGAATATCTTCGTTGTGAAGTGTGAATACTGTCGGAACTTATAGAATCCTTTGTTTATGTCAGAGCTTAGAATTCTTTGTTTATTTCAGAGCTTGGATTCTTTGTTTATGTCAGAGCTTAGGATCCTTTGTTTATGTCAGAGCTTAGAAATCTTTGATTTTGTCAGAGCTTAGAATCCTTTGATTATGTCAGAGCTTAGAAATCTTTGTTTATATCAGAGCTTAGAAATCTTTGTTTTTGTCAGAGCTTAGGATTCTTTGTTTATGTCAGAGCTTAGAATTCTTTGTTTATGTCAGAGCAATGAAATCTTTGTTTATGTCGGAGCTTAGAAATCTTTGTTTATGTCAGGGCTTAGAAATCTTTGTTTATGTTAGAGCTTAGAAATCTTTGTTCATGTCAGAGCTTAGAATCCTTTGTTTATGTCAGAGCTTAGGATCCTTTGTCTATGTCAAATCTGAGAAATCTTTGTTTATGTCAGAGCTTAAAAATATTTGTTTATGTCAGAGCTTAGAAATCTGTGTCTATGTCAGAGCTTAGAAATCTTTGTTTATGTCAGAGCTTAGAAATATTTGTTTATGTCAGAGCTTAGAATTCTTTGTTTGTGTCAGAGCTTAGGATCCTTTGTTTATGTCAGAGCTTAGGATTTTTTGTTTATGTCAGAGCTTAGGATCCTTTGTTTATGTCAGAGCTTAGGATTTTTTGTTTATGTTAAATTTTTTCTAGGGAGGCTTAGCATCCGTTAGAGCATGAAAACCATGCTTGGCCCCTGTTTCCACCTTTGCTGTCAATTTGTGTTGATTTCAGATCCTACTGTAAACATATGGAAGAGCTGGCAGCAATTTACGATCTTACGGCTGACAAGTTACCCTTAGCTTTTACTAGGTGAAAAACAAATTTTAAAAAGAAGAAAGAAAAAAATTTTTTTTCTTCAAATAATTTTTTTATTCAAATTCTTTTACCTATTTTTTTAGTGCTGAATTGTATAGCAAGCTAGTGGAATTAAAGCTCTCCATTAAGGAATTGTATATCATTAATAATTGCGAATTTTGATTTCAAAAAGAATGTTTTTTTTATTTTTCACACAGTTAGATGAAACTTTTACTAACCTTTGATAATCATTTTATAAACGTACCCTTTTCAAAGTTCACAGACAGTCTCTTAAAATAATAAAAAAATGTAAACATTCGATATTCTTGGATTTTTTATTTTTTTTATTTAATTAAGATATAAATTGCAGAGTGAGAGAGATGAGCTGCAGGCTCTAATATTGATGTTTGAATATTCTAAGAAATTAATGGAATCCTCAATAGAAACTTCATTTTTAGGTTGGTCATCAGAAAATATATTTTCTTGTACATCAACTTGCAAGATTTTTATAATTTTGAATATTACCCTAAAATTGATTTATTTTCCCCTATTTTTTATGAGTTCTGTTGTAAATCGGACATGACACTGTATAATTGGAGGGTTGAACTTAAAATTATGATTACAGACCATTTAACAAGATTTTAATTGTAATATTTGCAGCTGGTGCGGAACAAGCGTCCACCCACGCCTCACAGTATCTACACACTGCACAGTCCACTGTAGAAAAAGGTAGAGTGAGGCCCATAGAACTGTTGAGTAGAAAGTCCACATTTATGCAATGTAATGCATGTTTGATGTTGATATAAAGCAGTAACTTGAAAATCAACTTATTAAGGTATTTGTGGTGCAATATTTCTATATTTTCCTGCAAAAGTGTACTATACTTTTTATAAGTAATGTACTTATTATTTAAATTTTTTACCCTATACTTCGTTTTAAACTCTTAAAATTGCGATAAAGATGTGACGGACTAATATCTCCATCAAAAGATTTAAAAATTGATAAGAAATTGAATAATTCTGACCATTTTTTTGTTCAGAACTAAGACGAACCAAAAGCATAGAGATAAGCTTGCGATTAGCTGAGAAGTACCACATTGAGAATGCTGAAGGAGATGCTAAAGAACCACAAGAAAATCCACGTGTACTTGATAAAGAGTCATTTGTGGCATCTGCGCAGGAATTGAAACCAACGCCGGCCATTACTGAAAGTTCAACCGAAATCCAGGTAAAAGAACACTCTGACCCTTTTGATATAACAAAATTAGTTTATAGGGATAAATATTTTCCTTGCTACGTAATGTATGAAAGTTTCGCAGATTTTAAGCTTTCCGGCAAAAATCACTTTATTTTGTGAATTCAAGGCTCAATGTGATGGAAAAATTATTCTTCCCACAAACACATGAAATCATATAGCTCATGTTTTTCTAGATTTCACAATATGAAGAAAAAGAAGAAGACACTGATGATAAAGAGAAACGTGGAAAATTCAGTTTTCTTTTCAACAGTGATGAACAAGTGAAAATTAGTATTAAGGTGAAGAGTAATATGGAAATTTTTATTATTATGATCTTTAGAAGTGAACATATTTAAAATTTTAATTAATGTAACATTAATATTTTAAGGAAATTTAAGGCATAGTTTTTCACTTTTCTATTGGCATTGAAAGATATGTGAATAATATATTAAAATTTTGTAACTGGGGACACTCGTTTTAAAATAATTTAACATAATGCAATTTACAAAATTGGAAATTCAAAATCGACGACTAATTTAATATTGATTGATGGATGAATGTTTATTTTTAACTTCTTTTTGGATGATGTAGTGGATGGAGACTGGAGTTCAATGTAAAGCTGAAATAAAGATTTATTTCATGCAACTTTCATTTTGTAGAGGATATACCTCACATATCCGACCTAGATGAAACTGACCTACGGGTTTTTCAAAAATATTTTAAAATAGGTTAGGTTAGGTTACATACTCATTACTCAATATGTAACAAAATCAAGCAATTTCAAGCTACATGACTGTTCGATGTTTGATTTTGAACTTGTTCAGGAAGAGAATGAAGACGACATTGTGATAAGTTCAAAGACAGAAGATGAAGAGCCAGTAACTGAAGAAGAAGAAAAAGAGCATAAGGAAGATGATATAGAAAATGCCCCCTATAAAATGCCAACATATTGAGGACAATAAAATTTACAATTTCTTATATTTTTCAGAAAAATGGAGAATCGGCCAAAACCGAAAAGTTATTTTTTTAGATATGGTCGAGCATTTATAGCGTTAGAGATAGGTAAATTTTCTTTTTATCAGAAAAAAAAATTCTTAATCCCATAAATCTATTTTTTATGCCCATTGCTCAAAGTAAAAATTTACTGAGCATTTTTACTGATTTTTCTTTTCCAGAAAAAATTTCTGGTTTTGAATAAATTTTTATTTTGCGAGTTGTTCTTGATTTGATCAAAGAAAAGAAAATTTTTTATTTATGGTAATTATTACTGTGTATTAGAAGCAAACATTTTATTTTTAGGAGCTTTTGCTGGGTCCTATTTAGTTTGGCACCAGTTAAATAATGATCAGGTATCTTTCTCCTTATACTTAATGGGACTAATAAGTTACCCTCAATGTACAGCTTGGCACGTCAGATTCACGAAGTTAAAAATCCTGAGCAGAAATGTAGGAGTTTTCCCTGTTGTTTTCAGTATCTGAAAACTGATTATTTTCAACCATGGTTTCTCTACAAAAAATACTTTCGGAAATATGCAGCAGAGAGACAAAAAAGGAAATTGTCAGAATTTGTTTCTTTGTTTGTAACTATTATATATGGTTTTTAAGCTTTTATTTTGTAACACATGTGTCTGATGATCAAGTGAGTGACCATCTATCTTCTCTATTTATGGTTTCCATTAAATTGTACGTTTGTGATTCTGGTCACTTTGAATAGAGGGTTACCTGAAATATGAACATTTTTTCGACTTTGATTTTATCAAAAGAGACAATGTTTAATTTGATTTTTTTTTTAGAGAGTTCGATTAAGCATGAACTCCTGGTGTCCTCCTGTACTTGAGATGTATTACAAGATGGGAGAAATCATGGACAAAGATAACAAAATCAGGAAAATGTCAAATTTTTGTGAATTAAAAAAAAATCACTTTACTTTTAATTAAAAAAGATAACATAATCATGGAAATGACAACATGAGTTTTTTGAGAGAAAAAAAAATTCTGTAAAAGGTCTATCGTTATAATTTTAAGTGAGGGGCATACCCGATTTACAAAAGTACCCTTGAAACCTTTATCTGATCAATAATGTAAAAAATATTCTCGGTTTTGTTGGTTTAAAGGTGTTAAATTCTGAAAATTAAACCCTATCGTTTCTGTAATTTTAAGGATTTCTACATTGTTGTCCTGCAGTCGAAATACGCAAGTCACATTTATAGAGAACCACAATTAAAAATAATCAGTTTTTTAAATTATAAAAACTGATTTCTAATTTATATTTGATTAGACAAAGCTTTAGGGGGTACCGTTGTGAATATGACATACCTTTATATAATAGTGCGTCACTTGAAGGTACGTTTACAGTTCTTTATTATTTATTAAATATTGAGAATTTGACTTATTTAGAGAGTATGATCATAAAATTTGGATTCAGCAGGGAGCCATCAAAGATTCATAGTTTTTTGACAAACATAGAAAAAATTTAGTATTTCCTCAGATTCTCACTGGTTGTGTACTTTTCAGAGAAAATGCCTAGGATAGTTCGTAAACGAGTGAAAGAGTCTGAAAGGGATGTTTTGTATAATGTACAATCTTTCTTTTTCTGATTTTTTTTCGAAAAATGTCTTTTTGTTTTCTCACATTCTTTTCTGACACTTTCATTTCTATCCTTCTCTTTTCTCCACTGTCTTCCTTTATCTTCTCCTATTTTCCAATTTCCTCTCTATCTGTTTCTTAATATTTTCCGTTTTCTCTCATTTCTTTCCATTTTTTTCTTTTTTTCCATTTCCTTTCTGTTCCCCATTTCATCATCTATTTTCGATTTCACTCTTCCCTCTCCATTCAATTTCATTTTTAATCTGCCTCTTCCTCATCTGCCTCCCGTACGCCTTTTTCCCCACCTCTCTCTCTCTTTCCTTTTCCCTTTAATTTCTTCCAAGTTTTCCCTAACCTTTATAATTTTTTCGATTTCTTTCTCTCTGTTTTCAACTCTGACTTTTTTATTATTATCTAAAAGGAAATTCTTTAGTGATTCTTTCTTCATTTTATCTTTCCTCCATTTCCAGGTGTCTATATTTTCCCCTCTGTGCTGAAAGAGGGAAGACACTTCCCAGTTACATTTTTCTTTTTTACTCCCCGATTTCGCAAATACTGGGAGTGTGGGGATGGAGTGGGTAATTATCTAAAAATATAAACCATTACCAGCCTATATTTTTCTATGAATAATATACAATATACCTTTACTAGCAATGCTATTGCTGCAAAGATGCGACTGATTGATGAAAAAATTCTTGTCAGAAAAGTGGAGAAAGAAAGAGAAAATGAAAAAGTAATTCCCACCAATGAAATTTCAGACGACTCTTTGAAGGAAAAAGGTATCACTGATGATATTATTAAAATAATCGACTCAGAAGAGGATGAGGTTGAAACAGCGAAGGCTTCATCTAAGAGAATGATCAATAAAAAGATTCTGGCCAGAAAAATGAAAAAAGAAAGAGGGAATGAAAAGATGGCTCTTACTGGTGAAACTAAACAGAATTCTTCGAGGGACAAAAGTGTCAGTGATGATGTTCCGGAAATAATCGCGTCTTCAGATTCAGAAGACGACAAAAATAAATCAGTGAATGCTAATAGAAACACCCCGGCCAGAAAGGTGAAGAAGGAAAGTAATAATGAAAAAGCAAATCTTACTGATAAACCTTTGAATGGCTCTTCGAAGAAGAAAAGTATCACTGGTGCTGTTATCGAAATAGTCGCGTCAGAAGAGGATGAAAATAAAAGAGGAAAGGAAAAAGAAATGTCAAATATGGACGATGCTCCACGGAAACTCAACATGCGGCATGGAATTTATTTGACAAGTAGGAACATTTTCATTCTGATATTTAGAATCTTACAATTACATTATTGGGACTGTTGTTGTGAAATCTATTGACCATAAGAAGGGAATTTCCGATCTATTTAAACCTTTACCTATCATTAAAAGTGCTAATTCCAACCAATTCCTCCATTATGTAATCGATTTTTTAAAAAGCAAATGATTGATATCTATTCTTGATCTGAAGACGCTTTTAATGGCACCGTTGTGAACAGGGCATGCCATGTTATAAATGGCGAGTCGCTTGAAATGATGTCTACAGTAGATTCAATACCTATTTATATATACCTATGTCTACAGTAGATTCAATACCTATTTATATATACCTATGTAAACAGTAGATTCAATACCTATTTATATATACCTAGTAGATTCAATACCTATTTATATATACCTATGTCTACAGTAGATTCAATACCTATTTATATATACCTATGTAAACAGTAGATTCAATACCTATTTTGTAACACATTTCAAAGAGCCAGCCTAAATATGTCTTATGTCTTACAGTAACTCAAAACCAAAAAAAAATATTAGTATTCAGGATTTTTAGTAAGTGTAAAAGGAACTTAAAAACTATCATTCATCAGTGCTTCTGTTAATTTGTAGCTTCTAATAATCGACTCCAAATCTATATAATAAAACAAGATATTTATATATATGTTGCCTAATGCCTATAGTCGGGCCAAACGGCTGGACCGAATGGGCTGAAATAAAAAAAAATAAAAAATTCCAGGGCAACTCCGGGCCTTTAGCTAGTAATTGATATTTACTGATGATGTTATTTAAAATATAAATTTCAGATTCAGAAGATTTTGAAAAAGGCATGGAGGATTACCAAGACGGTGATGAAGCCATAGATATCCAAGACGCTGATAAAATCTCCAAAGAATATAACGAGAGCAGCGAGTTTTTAAAACCAGAAACCTACAAATCTATTCTTAACATAATCAGACTTAAAACTAGAGAAATTGTTCAAATGCAAAATTCTTCGTGATATTCTAAATATATAACAAATGATGGTAATGAGGCTGTTTTTTAAAAACTTCGATATTAATTTTATTTCAGAATTTGGCAAAAATGGGGGACAAAGTGATTGCATTAATAGACATGGACTGTTTTTATGTACAGGTAAAATGTACACCGTTGTACGTTATGTACAAGTAATTTAATATAATCAGTGGAAGGTAAATATTTGCTAACTGATGATTGATTTAATGATCGAATTATGTTTTTTTAATTGATTTATTTATTGGTGGTTTGATTCATTGATTCATATCATTCATACATTCATTAATTTATTTATTCATCCCCTTATTTGTTGGTTGGATGATTAATCGGTTAAATATTTGATTGATTTGTTGATTGATTGATTAATTGGGTTATTGATTTATTAATTCATTGATTGATGGATTGATAAATTAATTGATCAATTAGTTGATTGATTGATATTGATTAGGTTGAGAGTAGAGAGAATCCCGAATTACAGGGTAAACCAGCAGCAGTAGTACAGTACAAGGTTAATATTAATGATATCAATAATTTATTTATTTAATTATTGCTAATTACATTAATTTATTACATTAATAATTAAATAATTTAACATTAAGGAGAGTTAGATAATCTAGCCAAGAATTAATCAAGTTAAATAATCAATTAGATAATAAATAACCAAATTATTTATAAATTGGATAAAAATCATTTAGATAAATAATTAATCAAATTATTTATGAATTGAATAAAAAATTGTTCAGATAGATAATCAATCAAATATATAATCAATTAAATAATCTATTTAATAATGAATTATTTGAATAAATAAATCAACTATGTATTTAAAACAATATTTAAAAATAAATACATCGAGGTGTTCAACTTAACATAGTAAATGATATAATAGATGATCAGAAGATGAATAATTGTTTTGAAACATTTTGAATTAATGTTTGATGATTGATTAATAACTGGCTGAATTTTAGTCCTGGAAAGGGGGCGGTATTATCGCTGTAAACTATGAAGCTAGAGCTAAAGGAGTTACCAGGCAAATGAGAGGAGATGAGGTTTGTTTATTCATTTATTCATTCATTAAATCATTTATTTATTTATTTAATTGTTTATTTATTAGTTAATTTATTCATTAGATTATTTATTTACTCATTTAATCGTTTATTTATTAATTTATTTTTTCATTAGATTTTTTATTTATTCATTTATTCGTTTATTCATTCATTAAATTATCATTCATTAATTCTTCTTTTATTCATATTAAATTATTTGTTCATTTATTCATTAGATCCTTCATTTATTTATTTATTCTTTCATTAGATCATTCAAATATTCATAAATTCATAATGAGATCATTCATTTATTCATTTATTTATTCATACTCTTATTATATCATTTAATTATGAGATCATTCATAAGTTTTTTTATTTATTTATTTGTTCATATATTAGAACCTTAATTTATTCATTTATTATATTTATCCATTAAATCATTTCTTCATTCATTTATTCATCCTTTAGATTATTCATTTGTATTTATTCATTCATTACATCATTTATTTATTCATTCATTATTTCATTTGTTCATTCATACATTTATTCATTCGTAAGATCATTTATTTATTAATTTTTTCACTCATATTATTCATTTATTCATTATATCATTCATTTGTTCGTTTATTCATTAATTGTATCCATTGATATTCATTTATTCATTAGATCCTTCATTTATTTATTTATTCTTTTATTAGATCATTAACTTTTTATTAGATTCATTTATCTATTTATTTAATCATTTATTAGTTCATTCATTAATTATTTTTTATTCATTGATTCATTAGATCATCAATCCATCTATCTATCTATCTATCTATCCATCTATCCATCTATCTATCTATCCTAGGCTAGAGAGAAGTGCCCTGATATAGAGCTAGTCCGAGTACCTGAGGTTAGGGAGAAGGCTGACCTCACTAAATATAGGAACGCGGGCAGGGAGGTCATTCAGGTTCGTTTAAAATGCATAAAAGGTGTCAAGGTAGGTCATTAAGTTAGTTTTGTAGGTCAACTAGATTTGTTTAGGATATCATTCAGATATGTTTAGAAGGTCATTTAAGTTGGTTTAGTATGTCAATTTGGTTGGATTAGGAGGTCACCTAGATTTGTTTAGGAGGTCAACTAGGTTGGATAAGGAGATAAACTAGCTGGTTGAGAGATCAGCTAGGTTGGTTTATGATGTCAACTTGGTTGGTTCAGGGGGTCAACTTGGTTGGTTCAGGGGGTCAACTTGGTTGGTTTAGGAGGTTTAGGTAGTAATAAATGTGTTTTGTTCCGTGTTTTAATGAAAACAGTGAAGTAGTTGAACTTCATAGACTAAGTTAAACAGTTCAAAATGTAGTTGAACTGGTTCTCGCTATTTATAAAATGTGGTTCCAGGTTTTAGTATCATTCGGCTGTATTGTGGAGAGAGCCAGTATAGATGAGGCATACGTAGATCTAACAAGCATAGTGGAATCCAGGTGCAGACAAATTAACTCTTAAAGGGGGTTCATAAGGATCAAATATTAGAGTAAATAGATAGAGTATATGTGTACTTGAGTACACGCCGAACCAGGTAGATGTAGATTTTAAAAACATTTCTGTCAAAAAAAAGACATTTATCTGTAAAAGAAAGCACGCAGAATGCTGGTTTCTCTCAGTTTTCCTCAGAATCAGTGACTTCTACGGCAGAATATTAATTAAACTGGACACATAGCCGTTGCGAAGCAGTATGCTCAGAAACCAAAGGGATGGGGTTCCAGCAAGCTCAGACAGAAAATGGGGGGAAGGGGTTGTGGGGGGGGGCGACTATTAATCTATTACTCTAATGCTCAAATTAGTCTTGTCTTATAAAACTAAAATTTGCAATTTTTACATAAACCCATATTTTTTTAACAAATTTATGATTAAAAATTTGAGAATTTTTTAACCATAACATTGAAAATTACCAAAGTTTAACGAAAATACGTTAATGATTTTTGATAATTAATATTTCATCACTAAAATTGATTGATTTATTGATTTATTGGCTGATTGATTGATTGATTTAAACCCTGAAATGTATAGGTTCAGAAGAGGAGAGAATGTTAAACCGGAAGATCTTCAGAATACTCATATCGGAGGATCCACGGAGGACAGGGAGCAGGTAGACCCTTGGCAGGACCCCCTCCCTCATATAAATTTTGCTATGTAACATCTGGGCATAGTTTAATGTGTAGCCGCAGCGCCTGTTCCCCCCAGTCTGTTCAAAGCACTAAAAATATTATCATAATTTAACACGTTTAAACCCGGAAAAATGGAAAAATCTTCCACATTATTGATCAGATAAAGGTTTTAATGGTTCTGTTGTGAATCGGGCATTGTCATCTTTGCATGTAGGGTCACTTGAAATCGCGCTTACAGTCCCTTTAACATACTTATGTTTTTTAGTCTATTTCTGACTGGATCCAAGAGGCTGAATCTCAGAGCAACGAGGCTGATCTAAAACTAGCAATCGGTAAATCAAATTAAAGGGAGTTTACGCTGATTTTTAAGTGGGGTAGTGGTGAAAAAAAAATTTAATTATAAAATAACTTTTTTTTACTTGATCCGATGTTTCCACAAAAAATATTGGAAAAAACTATGGGAGACTTTTAGATAAAGTTCTAGTTGAAAATAGAGATAAATTATTGATGTAATAAAATTTATTTTTGATTGATCTAATGATTGATTGATTGATTGAGGTGCTCTAGTAATAAAATTTATTTTTGATTGATCTAATAATTGATTGCTTGATTGAAGTGCTCTAGTAATAAAATTTATTTTTGATTGATCTAATGATTGATTGATTAAGGTGCTAGTCTAATAGAAGAGATGAGAGCTGAAGTGTTTGCTAAAACTAAATTCAGATGTTCAGCCGGGATTGCGCACTGTAAAACTCTGGCAAAGGTAAATTTGATTCATCTGATGTTTATTTTTTATGTTTTTTATTGAAATTATTGGTTTATTCTGTAATTGGTTCATTTAATTGATTTGTTGAACCATTAATTGATTGGTAAATGGATTCATGTATTTTTGGATTGATTGGTTGGTTGATTGGTCGGTTAGTTGGTTGATTCATGATTGATTGATTAGCTGTGCTGGAAACTGAATAAACCCAACAAACAGACTGTTATCCCGCACTCACTGTTCCTTTTTTTTGATTGATTGATTAATTAATTGAGTGATTTAGTGATTGATTGATTGATTGATTGATTGATTGATTAGCTGTGCTGTGGGCTGAATAAACCCAACAAACAGACTGTTCTCCCGCACTCTTCTGTTCCTCTCCTCTACTCAACACTTAACATCACCAAGGTATAATGTTACAAGTATTAAAAATGTTACACTTTCAGATAAAAGTAAAAAAAAAATTAACGCCAATAGTCAATTTGACATAAAATCTGGTTGCCTGTAGGTACGTGGACTGGGTGGAAAACTGGGGTATATGGTGACCGATGGTTTTCAGATTCAAACTATGGGTCAGCTTGCCCAGCTTTCACACAGGTAATCATAATAATAATCTTTGCTTGTCTGTTGGTTGTCTGTTTCTTTGTGTTCAAAAAACGTCAAAGCGGCTGGGCCGATTGGGCCCAAATGCTTTATGGTAACTCACATGACAGGAAAGATTTATGGACCATCAAAATTGTAAAAGAATTTGGAATGATTAAAATTGGCCCGACTTTCCGAGGAACAGATAAAAGCTAAGATTGTTAATAGGAACCAACCCTTACTTTTAAGTTGTTCATTGTATTCCTTTTTGTTGTTCACATTTTCAAATGTTTAAATTGCTTTAAAAAATTAAAAAAAAAAACACTTGACCTAAGTCTCTTTTTTTTAGAGACCTGTTGGCTAAGTTCGATGAAAAAACTGCTTCCTGGCTTCATCTGCTCGGTAGAGGTAAAATAAATAAAGTCTATGGATATGTCTATTGCTTATAGGGACTGTAGTGAGTGTAGACCTAATTTCGACTCACAACGGTCCCATATGAACTGTGTCTGATTAAGATTCAAGAATGAATGAGATACCTATGCTTTTCTCATTAAAAATCGTTATTTTTTAATTGATGTTTCTCTATAAACGTGACTTAGATGGATGTTATTGTTGGATGAAATTGTCAGAATTAAACACTTCTCAAAGTAGAAAACGATGATATATTCTACATTATTGATCAGATAAAGGTTTAAATGGTAAATGTGGTTGTGAATGGGGTATGAACATTTTTAGATGAAGGGTCATTGAAAAAGAAACTTTGATTATTTAAGGGTTTGATAATGAACCTGTGAAAGAACGTGAACTTCCCAAATCTATCGGATGTAGTAAAAACTTCCGAGGTCCTGATGTCTTGGACACCAAGGTGAAATAACTAAAACTTGATCTTGATCTTGATCTTGATCTTGATCCGTATATTGATCTTTACCTTGACTTTGACTTTAATCTCTTGATCTTGATCCGTATATTGATCTTAACCTTGACTTTGACTTTAATCTCTTGATCTTGACCATGATTTTGATCTTGACTATGATGCTGTAGGAAAAGGTCCAGCTACGACTCCGGAATTTGGTTGAAGAGCTGGCTGAGAGATTAGAGGTGGACAAGGAAGAACATTGTAGGATTGCTAAAGGACTAACCGTAGGTATAAAAACACATTGACGGGGAAAAGAATATTCATCAATTTTTTTTTGGGTAAGTCTTTCAAATACGTTAGTTGAATTCCTATTTTTGAGTCCACATGCCTAAAAACTTAATCATAAGTGCTCGTAAGAAAGTTAATAGATTTAAACATTGTTTAATGAAATAACTTTTTCTTGATATTAACATTTTTTAAGAGTATTTGTTTTGCTTTTTGGATTTTATTGAAAAGATTGGCGGTTTTTATTAATTCCAAATCTTTCAGGATGTAATTTGGAGAACCAGGGATACATTTCTAGGGCTGGCCAAATCAGCTCTTATAATTTAGAGAGTCTTTACAGGTGATTTTTTTTTAATAATTAAATGATTGTGTACCGAGCAGAAATGTTAATTGAAAAATCGAAGACGACTTTACAGCTGTCCTGGACCAATAAAACAGACTAACAAGCCCCCTTAAACAAAATTTGTATGTACAAAATATTAAATTGAAAAGTTATTTTGACATTCTAAAACTTTTCGGACACTTTAAATATCCCTAGATGTCAGACCAATTCTTGTGTGCTTAATATTATAATTTTATACAGCGTTTAATCAATGAAACGTTTATTCCTTTTTCTTTTTATCAAATCTTATTTTTGCAATAATAATAACTACTTCCAGGACTGGACTAGCCTTGTTAAGTAAGCTGAACACAGCTGACATAAACGGAAGTGCCTGGACTCCTAAACTTCATAATATCAGCATATCCGCCAGGTACAAAATATGTCCGCCATTTTGTTTTCAATCACTTTGCAAGTCACGCGTTTTATTTTAATTTCGGCCATTTCTTCTTCAATTGAGCATTGTTTTAGCTTTCTCGAATAATTGATAAGTTTTTAAAAGAATTCCAAATTATCGTTACTATCATTTTAATAATTTATTGTCGCAGTAAGTTTGAGGATATGCGAGCTATTGGTACAAGAGCAATCACTAGTTTCTTCAAAAAGCAACCAGAGTTGGATCAATCTAAGGCAGGGGTCGGTTGTTTTGATTTTTTATTATTCATCTGAATTTTACACACAGGGACGGTTGTTTTAAATTATCATAATTCAAAAGAGAGGTCATAGCTCAATACTAGCTTAGTACTAACTAAGAGGACTGTTAAAAACATTAAAACATGATGAATTCTATCAATTTCCTTCATTATGTCTGCTGCAAAAATACGCACTCTTAAAGAGAATCGCATTTAAAAATGGTCAATTTTTGGTTGAAAAAAATAACTGAGACAAAGTTACATGTGAAAAGTTACATAAAATTACATAAATAAATAAATAAAACAGTCACCCTTCATAGAACTATGACTTACTGTTATTTAGTGAAAATTAGATTTTTCATAGAAAATCTTAAAGTTCATTAAACTTATGCAACCAATGGAGCTTAATTCTATAATTAAAATCCGGCTTCATTATGATTTAACACAGAAATTAGTTAGTGTCATGGCGACAAATACGCCCCTTTATTCAAAAAGAATGATAAACCCGAACATCATTTTAAATTTTAAAAATTTGAGAAGTAAAAATCTTAAAACCGTTCTGATCTTCAGGATATATTTGAATCATTCCTTGACGAGTCTTCAGACTTCTGTGATCCTACTGAGGAAACTCAGGATGAGCTTGGTCATGATTCCATTCATGGATCAGACTTTCCAATTGAAGTCTCTGTCTCTGATCTTGAAGACAATGATTCTTTTCCATGCGATAAATCTGAAAAATCTGAATCCAATTTTCAGATATCAAATCATAAACATCCAGCTGCTAGTTTAACCCCTTTGACCTCTAAAACCCCAGAAGCTTCTAAATCTCTTAGTTCTGCCAACGGTCCTGAACCAGGCAAATCATTTTTCAGGTGGAAAATGCAGCAAATGAAGGAACAGAAGGAAAAGGAAGAACTGGCCAGAAATCAGTATATAAAAATGGAAAATAAATTGACCGCATGTGATGCTACTATGAATAAGACTACTCCAATAGTTAATGATACTACTCTAATAGTTACAGAGACTATTCCTATAGCTAAAGATAGTATTGTAAATGCTACTCCTGCACCTGCGTATGGTCCTGAACCGGGGAAATCATTTTTTAAATGGAAAATGCAACAAATGAAAGAACAAGAGGAAAGAGAAGAACTAGCAAGAAGGCTGAAAGAAGAGGAAGAAAGGTTGGAGAGAGGGGAACCTGAAAAGTCGATTAGCGAAGAAATGCCGGATGAAAGAAATTCAAAAAAAGGAACATATTTTCATAAGATATAAAAATTTATTTTTTTATGGTTAAAATCTATTTTTATCCAATTTAACATTTTTTACGATTAACAGCTAGCAATACTGAAATAGTATCAATCACTTTCTGAAAATCAAAAGTGTCCTTTTATCCATTTTTTAACCAGAAATGAGAACTGTGGTATCTGCAGTACCTGGAGTAGCGCCTGGAAGAGTACTTAGAGATCCAGGAATAGACTTGGCAGAGCTAATTCCAAGCCTGGAGAACTTAGACCCAGATATTATACAAATATTACCATTCAATTTAAGGTACAATCAAGACTTATCATGAGAAAAATAACAAGTCCAACCAATCCCCACAATGCTATTCCGAATATTAAATCTGAAGCGTGTATTAGATTTTAAAACCTTAAGAAGAAAAAAAAATTATTTTTATGTAAATTAAAAGGATTTACTATATTTCATCCAACGTTTCTATCATCGATTTTTAGGCTAGTATTCATTCATATTTATTCAAACTAGGGTTTTAGAGCGCTTCGCGCCCATCTTCTATTTCAACTTTCAATTGTGGCTGTATCTGTGAGCATCTTCTCTTTGTACAGTATAAAACAAAAACAAAAAAAGTTTGCGGATTTTTTGTAGGTGTTTCCCA